TTTCCCCGATCAGTGGGACGGACAGAGGGGGGGGGGGGCGCAGCGCGCACTCACACATACTCACTAGGTTAGCCGCTGCTATCTATTTATGGTTGTAATACCTACATATCTACATCTTTATTTCGAATAATTGCTTCCTTTTGTTCGTGTCCACTTGCTGAAGGCTGAAGCCGGGATGAATATAGCTGGTAAAATGTACCCATAAGTCTGTTGAAGCACATGTATGATAGTTAAAATTGAAAACAGGTAGGTACATAATAATGAACTTTCGATACAGGTAGTACATTAGGTACTTAACTAACGAAAACATCTCAATTATCGATTGTCGAAAATCTTAAAATTATTTATAAATTTAATTAGAATAGGTAATTTTTAGATTTTCGATAATCGTGCTTACGTATAGGAGCCTCATATCCTAATATACCTAATGCCTCATATCCTAATAGAACAATAATAATTTTAAAACACTTTAACACAACAAAAACATGAAACTGAGAAGAAACACCCGATCTGCCGAAACAAACTCTGAGAGGTCAGTCCAGTATATTGGTCATGTCAAACGAGAACCAGGCAGGTGGCTAATGTGGTCCTTTGAAGAAAGAACCATACAGAGATTCCGTACCCGAACGGTAACCAGCAGGGCCCTATTACGGAGCCTCCGCTGTCCGTGTGTCTGTCTGTCTGCGGGCTGCATCTCATGATCCGTAACAGGTAGATGGTTGTAATTTTCACAGAACGTGTATTTCTGTTGCCGCTATAACAACAAATAGTAAAAATAAATTTGAAATTAAAGGTTTTCCTACTAGAAAAAGAAACGTGTATTTTTGGCTTTTTTTTGATAGATAATAATATGTAGTAGCTCGGAAGTCCGATTCGCACTTGGCAAATATTTGTTTATAATATTTAACCTTACCTCAGACATACTCATATTTTTATATAATTTTTCATATAATTTACTATAAGTACTACTATATAACCTACTACTAAATAAAATAGTAGCTTTGCTATGGTATTATAGTATATTTTGAATTAGATTAAACCTACCTCAGATATTGGGTTATGAATACAGATTAAGTACATATAGGAGAATAGGATTTAGTTTCTAAGTTGTACATATTTTATAGCCTTCGTTATCAATAGCATAAACAGGCCAAGCCCCCTAGCCTACAAACGTTTCGTAACGAATCTCTTTCTACAATCGCGCCTTTTATTTGTTTGGACTGACCACACGAAACGTTCAGTGATGTCATTCCCATACAGTGTTTAGTTTTCAACTAGCGTTATCTATCATAAAATAAATCAAATTTTTATTTATATTTCGCTAATTGTGTCCGTACTGTGAATTTGATTTACAATCAATCTCAAGTTGTAGTTTTCTTCTAATTACTTACCTTGTCTAGACGTGTTCTTTGGACTTCTGTAAGGAAGTCTGTGCTGTTAGTCCTATTCCGTTTAGGTACGTTACTATTTTGATAGACGTATGTAATTGTCCCTGCAGTGACACAATTCCTATTGTTGATAACTTTCTAAGTACTAAGAGAATATTGCAAACCGCTATTGAACACAAACAATCAATAAACAATTTACAAACTAACATTTTTTATTTACTTAATTAACCTACATAAAAGCCCCACTCACATCAAAATCGCGCAGTTGAAAAAGCTGTTATCCTGACACTGGCTTGCATATACTTCGGGGATTTGCCTGTGTGCTATTATAGCTAACTAGCTATGGTAATAGATACTTATTTAAAATAAATAGTACCTACAGTAATATTTGCATAACCTACAATAAAATACGAAAACATAAAGAAAACAGAAAAACGTGTAAAATAATTATGTTTGTGTTAGAAGTCGGTTACATTTTTTTCAAAAAAAAGTTTTTTATGTTACCATTTTTAGTTGAGAGTTATGTCCTTTTAGTGGGTACAGGCGGTATATTATATTGTGTGGTTGCGTAAAGAATGCATAGATACGCGATAGCAGCAATCGCGGTTGATTTGCTGTCATTTATTGAAGAGTTCCGTCGATTTCTCCAAGATCCCTTCATCAGATCCTGACCTGACCATTATCGATTACCGTGGGATCATCTGGAAAGTATATTCTTTAGAACATACATAAAACCAACGAATTGAGAACCGCCTCCTTTTTTCAAAGTCGGTTAAAAATTAGGTAAAAACAAATCAATGAAATTATTAGTATATAATAACACCCACTTAAATTCACAGAAGAACTTTCATAATAACAACCAAATTGGGTTCATAATAATTACGTTTCACACAGCAGATCCTAAGTTATAATAACACCAATTTGTTTCTTCTCTCTTTTCTCTTTTTAAAATACGTTACCCCCACAATAGGATTTTCTCCTGTATCGTAGGGATAGTTTACAAACATAAATTACACAAGGACAAACATCCAGACCCGGAACAACTATTTGTAGACCATACAAATATTTGTTCCGTCCGGGATTCGAACCCGCAGCCCCAAGCGCAGCCACTCATTGCTAAGCTACTGCGTCACGGAGCTCGGAATTGCCTTTTGAGTTTATGTTATCATTCAAACATGAACCGCATAGGTAGGTATAATTATAATTATACGCGACGACGCCGTCGCTTTGCGTCACTCAGGAGTGCGTGTGTGTGCGCACTAGCTTCTTACTGCTCATCACAGCGTCTATCCCTTTCGCACGTAATATCGGTTGAGATAGCATGCATTTTTACCCCGCCCACCACTTAGTTCGTGCCATCGACTAGGGCAACCTTAAAAGAACTAACTATGTTCAAAATTCGATTGTCAATAGGCTTCACAGAATTTATAATAAAACATTTAATACAATTGATATCTTTCACTCTAGTAAACCTTCATTCAAACGTGAAGTTGTCAAGGTAATTTGCAAGAATATGTCAAATTATAAACTAACCTATAAATTTAAATAGCAAATAGCATTAACAATATAAATACAAGAAAGTTTTTGTAGCAGGTATTAATTGCATACATAAATATACGCTATAGTTTACATACATCATTTCTATATTTTTTCATATATTTATTTATGATAAAATATCGTTATTTAATTAAAATGTGTATCACGTTAACACACACACACACACACACACACACACACACACACACACACACACACACACACACACACACACACACACACACGCACGCACGCACACACGCATACACACACACGCACACATACTCACACACACACGCACACGCACGCACACACAAACACACACACACACGCGCGCACGCACATACACACACACACACACACACTTTCACTCACTTTTACATACGTGTGCAAACATACATAATCTTCCGCACTTAAACGAATTTCGTGCGCTTTATTTACCTTTAAATATGTTTATATTTCATACATCTATTTTTAAGTAAGGTGGTGAATGCTTTGTGACGTTCTTTTTAGCTTAATAAGTATATTGTAAATCCGTAATTGGCTTCAAGACCTATTTTATAAGATTTGTGTGTAAATAGATTGTTACAAGCTGTGGATTTTGTGAATAATAAAAATAAAATAAAATAAACTACATTTTATTACGCGTGTAACAACAGTGCCGGCCCGATCGTCACTGACTACATTTCAGTTACATAGGTACTTAGGTACATTAATAAGTGTAGTTACAACGCAATCTAAGACAGTAAAAATAAAATGCTTTACGTTAGTAAACGCATCACTTGAGTACGGTTGACCGATTTGGCTATTTTAAAATTTTGATTAATTATTTTTATTATTCACGAAAATGTTCATTTGAGAAAAACTAAACGTCCTTTTTTATGAGATTTTGTATGAACGCAAGACAGTGATCCACGATTCAAGGGATGGATATGCATAATTCTTTTTTTTTTATTAATGGTCATGGAAAAGTTATCAAGAAAAAAATCAGGCGTGGTTCGAAGTCGGTCACATCCTAGGCACACCCACACATTTTGAGAATTTCAACGGTGAGCTGCCGATAGAATTCATCTAACATGTAAAATTTTCCATTAGCGTTCAAGGTGCTCCTCAACTTAAATATTGATAACCATTCAAAACTACGTACTTCTCTTATTTTAACGATTTTCCAACAAATTATCACAAGTTCACAAAATGATTTCTAACGAATTCATTAAAACTTGGATGCCACAATATCTGCCAGTACATAATATATTCGTGATACGTAAGAATGGCTTCGGATTTAAAAATAATTGTTGCATCGTTTTATAAAAATAATAATAAAATCACAGCTCATTAATTCTTACTGCTAAACTAAAGAGTCGAGCTGTACCAGTGCATTTTGGCGGACATAACAATATTCTTGCGATATACGAGTTGTTTTTGACGCGCAGAAAGCATTCCCGGAATCCATCTTGCGCAGACTTTAGTCAAGCCAAGGTGTTGATGTAGGATGTTTAAAATGGTTGTTTCTAATACTCCAACTAATACTGCAAGCTGTTTTTTCTTTAGCCGGGTATCTTCCGATACAAGTTTTTCAACTTTTTTGATTATTTCTGGCGTGGTTGACGCCGTCCAGGTCGGTCGGCGCCCATACCTGGATAAGTAAACTCACCCTCGTCAACCCTGCCATTCCGCGAAGTTTTTGATCTCCCCTCGTAGTTATAATTATAAAGCTCTTGCAAATTTACGTACATTATCACAGCCCACTATACGCAACTCCACTCTAACCAATACCAATGCATTAGAAACGTAACAGAAACACACCACCATCGATTATACGACACGATATTCTTCTTTAAACAAGGCAACTTTGATAACTTACTTCAAATCTTAGTTACCTATACGAGTCACCTGAACATTAACAGCTTCCCTGTCCGCCAAATAGCCACAAGAGTTGGACAGTGAAATGATTAATCGCTAAAAAACAAACAAAATATCTTTTCTTTAAATAAATTACCTACATTCAAAAACAAACCTTGTAGTCAGGAACACACTAAGAAAACAAATTTACTTTACACAAATGTAGGTACATACCTGTACAGCGAGATATTTTGCCAACAAATCCACACCCTCCTCAGTCTGACCGATCTGCGGGAACAGTTTGAAAAGACGTTCCACAGCCACGTCATCTTCTTTTCGTGCAGCTTCATCAAATCTGTAAATATTGAGAGAAAAAAATTAAATCGCAATTGTAGAGCACAATTTGACGTTGATAATAATGAAGTTTAACAACATGAAAAAGTTACAAATGCAAAGGTAGGACATATTCATACGTATATAAATATTTATTTTTATACGTGGTAGAGCCGCGCTGCAGCTATATATATTATGGTTGTAGTACGAATCGGTCGGATCGACCGGGGAAGGGCCACGCTTCACAGAATACCAGCGTAAAATAGCAGCTTAATACTGATATATTTCGTATGGTGAGTGTAGAGATTTGCAGACCCTATTTTACTGGAAACGAGGCATTCCATCTTAGTCCTCTGGGGTGATAACGCATTTGCGTTTTGATTCTTAATCGAGGATAAATGTAGATGTCAATGGGCCACAGCATCCACTTACCATCAGGTGGACTGAGTGCTCGGTTGTCATCGTTATTCTATAAAAAAGTATATAAATTTTTTCTTCCCCACTCTACTCTTTCTCTAGTGCTTTTGGTGCTATTAGTATTCCTTTATCGTCCAACCATAGTATACAAAATGTTTTAACAGCTGTGATCACTTAGTTGTTCACTTTCACTGCTATAAATGTAAAAAAATCTTAAATGGCGTTTCTGTATCTTCATTCTCCCTAAGTGAAGGTTAGAGGTGTTCTTCAAGGTGTATCTAGGGATCCAATTTTTGGCACTCTATACTGCAGAAATTAGTTTTATTTATTAGTAAATAGATAGCTAGCAATTGTATATTATTGAAATTAATTATGAAAATTTCAATAAGACAATCCGCCTGGCAAGCGTGGTTATTAAGAGAAATCCTTCCAAGTGTCTCATCTAAATGTAGTAGAAAGGATTGAGTTTTTATAGGCTGATGGAGAAGAAAAGTCCGAGAAGAGGCGGTGAGAGAATATCTACTAGATACCTCATATCGGATACCCCTGGATGTCGTACAAGGTGATATAGGGAAAAACATTAGTAGCGTCTTCTTGACATTAGCTAGAAAATAAAAAGCTTTCAGCTCATAATATAGTCTGTTAAACCGAAGTAGAGTTTATCTGTTTTATAGTTTATATTAATTTTGTTTTCTATTCTTAATATTGACAATTTTAGTGCATTATTATTGAATTATCTATTTTGCAGTCGGGTTCCAGATTTTTTAATCATTTATTTTATTTGCAGTCTTTATTGGCAGGTGTGAGTATAGATAGCGACAGTGCGCGAGCGAGAGGCATATAAAGGCGACGCCATTTTCCATGGCATTGTTTAACCGCACGGTTAGTACTGAGTGGTTCGGGTACGTACTTACGCACGAGGTGGTCGCGCAGCGTGCGCGCGGCCCGCGCCATGTCGTCGCGTGGGTCGGGCGCGCCGCGAGCCCGCGCCGCCGCCACCGAGCCCGGCTCCATGCTCAAGAAGCGGGCTACGTGCCGCGCCGCTGTACGCACAACACACATTCAAATGAAACAATACACAACTACATGTCAGTGCGCGCACGCCGCCGCCACCGAGCCCGGCTCCATGCTCAGGAAGCGGGCCACGTGCCGCACCGCTGCACGCACAACACACATTCAAATGAAACAATACACAACTACATGTAGGCGCGTGCGCGCCGCCGCCACCGAGCCCGGCTCCATGCTCAGGAAGCGAGCCACGTGCCACACCGCTGTACGCACAACACACATTCAAATAAAACAACACACAACTACATATAGGCGCGCGCGCGCCGCCGTTACCGAGCCGGCTCCATGCTCAGGAAGCGAGCCACGTGCCACACCGCTGCACGCACAACACACATTCAAATGAAACAACACACAACTACATGTAGGCGCGCGCGCGCCGCCGCTACCGAGCCGGCTCCATGCTCAGGAAGCGAGCCACGTGCCGCACCGCTGCACGCACAACACACATTCAAATGAAACAACACACAACTACATGTAGGCGCGCGGGCGCCGCCGCTACCGAGCTCGGCTCCATGCTCAGGAAGCGAGCCACGTGCCACACCGCTGCACGCACAACACACATTCAAATGAAACAACACACAACTACATGTAGGCGCGCGGGCGCGCCGCCGCTACCGAGCTCGGCTCCATGCTCAGGAAGTGAGCCACGTGCCACACCGCTGCACGCACAACACACATTCAAATGAAACAACACACAACTACATGTAGGCGCGCGCGCGCCGCCGCCACCGAGCTCGGCTCCATGCTCAGGAAGCGAGCCACGTGCCACACCGCTGCACGCACAACACACATTCAAATGAAACAACACACAACTACATGTAGGCGCGCGGGCGCCGCCGCTACCGAGCTCGGCTCCATGCTCAGGAAGCGAGCCACGTGCCACACCGCTGCACGCACAACACACATTCAAATGAAACAACACACAACTACATGTAGGCGCGCGCGCGCCGCCGCCACCGAGCTCGGCTCCATGCTCAGGAAGCGAGCCACGTGCCGCACCGCTGCACGCACAACACACATTCAAATGAAACAACACACAACTACATTTAGGCGCGCGGGCGCCGCCGCTACCGAGCTCGGCTCCATGCTCAGGAAGCGAGCCACGTGCCGCACCGCTGCACGCACAACAGACATTCAAATGAAACAACACACAACTACATGTAGGCGCGCGGGCGCCGTCGCTACCGAGCTCGGCTCCATACTCAGGAAGCGAGCCACGTGCCACACCGCTGCACGCACAACACACATTCAAATGAAACAATACACAACTACATGTAGGCGCGTGCGCGCCGCCGCCACCAAACCCGGCTCCATGCTCAGGAAGCGAGCCACGTGTCGCACCGCTGCACGCACAACATTTCATAGCGTATTCACGTAAATGTAATAAATCATTAAATTATTATAATTCAAAATGGCGAGAATTTTTAACCACGTTTCCAGTTCTAAGCTATTTCAAATTGTTTAAATAGATGAAATTAAAACCCGACTTCTAAGAACTACAAAAATAACATAATTTTCACACAAATAACTTCTAAAATCGACCCTAATAAACAATAATATATTACTAACTATTGATCTGAGTTTAATATATAGAATAATTAAGGCCCTGACCTCAAAAGCTGTTAGATGGAAAATAATTCTTTATAATTGGCTTTTTCATTAGAAATTAAATAATTTTACTCTTTTGACTGAACTAAATAATATCACAAACTCAAGGTAAAAATAAGAATACGTAACATTCATACTAAACAAACAAATAGAGAAGAAAGCAAATTAATTAAATGTGCTAAAACATGTGCTTATCTATACACATAAATAAAATTGAAGTGTGTATGTAACATCAATATAACAGCTTTTTACTAAATACATATGAAAGAAAGTTTATATGATACTCAAAACAAAAATCAATATTTTAAAATTTTTGTTTGACTGTCTGTGTATACCGGCTAATCTCTAAAATGGCTGGATCGATTTTGATGGGACTTTCACTAGCAGATAGCTGATGTTAAAAGGAGTAACTTAGGCTACTTTTATTTTGCCAAAACAATTAGGGTTACGCGCAAAAAAAAATTCGCGGGGAACAGCTGATTACAAATATATAATATAAGCAAAATCTTCTCAGAAGGATTTTAATATTTATGTAGCTTATTCGGAGAAGTATTAAAAAGGAAGTGGTAATACTGGCCATTTAGAAACACAACAATAAAATTGGTTTTGCTCAGAGAAAAAGCATTTACCTGTTTCATAATCATGTGCTTTGATAGCAGCTTCTACACCTGCGCTGCATAACTGGAGGTCTATTAAATCATGTACACGTCGCTGGCATTCTGCAACCCGTGACTGTAAACATGGAAAAGAAATAAATATTTTATAAACACTCAACAAAATATCATCAGCCGATAAACAAGCTACTACTAAACTAAGAGAAGGGTGAGAAACGAGCACAAGGTCCACCTGATGGTAAGGCATTGCAGCGGCCCATAGACATCTACATCTATCCTCGATTACAAACCAAATGTAGATGCGTTGTCACCCGTGAGGACTAAGATGGAAAGCCTTGTTTCCAGTAAAAAAGGTTTCCGGTTCTCTACTCACCTTACGAAACATAGCAGCATTAAGCTGCTATTTTAAGCGGGTATTCTGTGATTTGTGAGTGGATTTAGTTATTATCTTTATGATCTTAGCAGTTAGATTAGTCAATGCAGCCACAAGACCGGACAGGACATAAAAAATGCCCGCTTCTTTCTAAAAAGAAAGGCACCTGCAATTCTCCCGCGTGTTGCAGATGTTCATTGGCGACGGTGATCACTTACAATCCGGTGAGCTGCATGCTCGTTTTCTTTTTGAAGGACCACATTCGTCATGCTCGTTTTTCTACTATTCCTTACGGCTTTGAGGTTTTGGGGCCTCTGATAATTGTGCCGCATATTATTTATATATACATTTTGAATTCATTCATTAATGAAAATCTATATATTTTCATTACACTGATGAAACTTATACATAATTTATGTAAATAGTATGGTGGTTCATAAACTTACCCGTGCAAGATCGAGCTGTCGTACTTTAGCACTGACATCTCGCGCCAGGGCTGCAGTCTTCTCCACCATATCGGCTGCAGTTTGGGCGTCATTCTTCACTTCTCCAAGCTTAGTGTATGCTTGACTGACAGTACGTAACTTTCCATCCAGTGAACATGCACGCGAGAGAGCATTGGATAGGGCTTCATTGACATCAGACTGTAATTATTTACTGGACTTGTTTCATACATAGTTCATCATATTCACTTACTTATTGTGTATAATGATAAGACTTAAATTTCATAGTTTTTTTTTAATAGAATTAGGATGATAAACGAGCACACAGTCCACCAGATGGTAAGTGGATGCAGTTGCCCAGAGACACCTACATTTATCCACAATTAAGAATCAAAATGCAGATGTGTTGTTACCTCTGAGTATTAAATCCATCTTCGTTCATGCCTCGTTTCTAGTAAAAAGTCCCCAGTTCTATGTAGTCACCGTATGAAACACATCAGAATTAAGCTGCTATTTTAGCCTGGTATTCTGTGAAAGCGTGGTCCTACCCCAGTCAAGCTGACCCGCTTGTGCTACAACCATAATTACAGCTGCAGCGTGGCTCTTTTTTATAGGAGAGGGGGCAAACGAACATACGGTTCACTGATGGTAAGTGATTATCGTCGCCCGTGAACTACTGAAACACCAGGAGAATTGCATATGCATTGCCGGCCCTTTAAAAAGGAGTAGGCTATTTTTTGAAGGCCCCTAAGTCGTATCAGTCCGGAAAAATCTCTGGTGGTAGTAGATTCCTCAAGAAAGTTGTGCGAGGAAGAAAACTTCTTTTAAATCGCACAGTGGTGAACCGCCAGTCATCCAGATGGAATGGATGGTATCGCGAGTTTAGCCCCGATGTGCGATGGTGAAACTGTGCGGCTCTACCGCATCATTATACAGACTTTTTTTTACTTATTATGAGCCAGTGCTTGACCACAATCCTACCTGGTGGTAAGTGGTGATGTAGCACTAGATGGTAAATCGCACTGTCTTCGCGTAACAGCCTGTTCACTCTTGCTGTGAAGACGCCCAGATTGTATTCGGACGGAAAGATAGACACCGGCAAATTATTCCACTCCTTTGCTATACCCATTACAAAAAGGTCGCAAACTATATGATCCTAATGCCTGCAATACCGACAATAATGGGGTGAAGACCCACCGTCCTTCTGTTTATCGGATGGTGGAAAGAAGAGAGAGAAATTAAACGTGTAACTCCTGCGCACACTCACCGAAATGCACCTCGTAAAATACTGAGAGGCTACTAATACTAATACTGGCTACTCTGCGCCTGTGTTCGAGCCTAACACGATTGATTTCAACCAAAATTAAGGTTACCAATGAGCCTGTTAGCATGTCTTTCCACTAAGTTCAAACCTGCTACGTGGCATTTTGTAGCTTCTGCACAAATGTGCCAGCAAAACTCTATGCACGACCGGAGTTGCGCTTTATATAAGGTAAGAAAGCTGCCCCGGCGTGAAGTACCGCCGCACCCTTGCAAGTACACCTAGTTCTCTTGCGGCTGCTTTGGCCCTGGGCTCAATGAACCACCCATAGTTGAAGTTCGGAGAAAATTCATCCCCTAATAACTAAATTCCAAGGATACATTCCGGAAAGTAGGAGCCAGGGTGAGGGGGCTCCTTTTAGCGGTGAAAAGAAACGATTGTATTTCAGAGGCGCTGAATCTCACAAGATTGGCATTGCCTCATTCGGAGACTGCCTGTGCAGTAAGAGATTCGCACGCCCAACAATAGCTTCTCTTTCGGACTGGATTTGATCTCGACTGGTCCGAGCTGGTACTTCTCCACAACTGAGCTGCCGTTTGCATACCCATAGATACTGGGAATAAGGAGACCATTAATATGCAGCAGGAGAGAGTTGCGGAGAGAACGGGCGTCTGAGGAACTCTGGCATTTGTCGTGATAGGACTAGACGAGCAGCATCGACAACGGCTCGGAGAGATCGTTCACTCGGAAAGTTCTTCACCCAGTTAATCAGGCTAGGAGATAAGCCGTAAGGTGGAAGCTTCCTCAAAAGGCAAGCGTGGTAAACCCTGTCAAAGGCTTTCCAGACATCAAGGGAAACAGTAAGTGCTTCCCCACTGTTCTCAAGGTCTTAGCCCCAAATGTGAGTGACATACGCTAGTAGGTCCCCAGTATCGGCCAAATCCGTACCGGCCGTCACTGAGGAGATCATTCTGCTCCATGACCGCCAGGTGTGCCATGAGGTAGGCGTTCAATATATTATGCTCCACTCTTCTTACAGAGTATGGAGGTAATTGAAATTCGCCGATAGTTGGCAGGATCGGTACGGTAGTCTCTGTGGTGCCCATCGGAGGCGAATCTCAGCCATGGTTTGGTCGCTCCTGTAAAATAGCATCATGCTTTAAGCAGGAGAGCTACCAAGCCTGGGCTGACGCATCAACGCAGTGGCGAAGCTAGAGCTCCAAACTAGGGCAAGCCCAAGATATAAATTGATAAAAATATAGATTGTTGTTTTTAGCAGTTTTAAAAAAATACACCAATCTTGATCTGTCTCCACGCTTCAGTTTCATATTCAGTTCTGTCAAGGACGTGTTTAACAAAGCACACAGAAGGCATACTACTGCTAGATAGATTGTATTACATATCAGCAATTGCATAGCTTCGGTGGCTTTGAAGAAATCCGTTTGGGTTTGTTTGAGCAAAAGTAAAACATGAACAAAGTACAAACAATGTACAAAATTAAAAAAACAAATTATTTACATTCTAATGGATAAGAGATAAGATAAGTGGAATCGTCTCGCTTTCTTAAGGAAAGATTTAATTACATCCACTAAAATGTTTGTGAACGTTTCAATTGTACCAATAACTGTTTTTTAATTGCGATAATTGATAAGTTTGAAATACACTCTTGACCTTGTGTATTAACTCAACAAAGTTTAAAGATTTTACCTTTTCCTCGCCGATTAGCACTTTAACACACTTCAATTCATCACAAAGAACACTATTATCCTCCATTTTCACTAAAATCTTTAAAAAAGCATAAATTTTGAACTCGCAATATTAAATCGCTTAAGCTAAACACACAGAGTAAATAAACATTGAAATGTAAAATGAACTTGCAAACGTATAGCCCGCACGCCTCCGCTTTTGACAAATTCATTCCTAAAGCCTGGCTTTAAATCTCTATACCAATTGCTATATATACAATCGTAGTTATATTTCATTATAGAATATTTTGCCATAGGTTAGAAAGAGAGCGATCGTCTTCTCGAAAGCCCCGTAAAAAATCCACGCGAGCGAGAGAGACAACGAATCGCTCTATTAAAACTCATTTTTTTTGACAGCAGCAGTATCGCTAAGGCAATATTTCACCTTCCTTCTGGAACCCGTGCATTTTGGTCTCTCGCTAAGGTTTTCCAAGGGAATTTCTGCAAGCCATCTCTTCCATCACTGCAGAAGGAGGACGACTCACTGGCCCATGCCGCAAAGGAGAAAGCCGATCTGCTAGGCTCTTTTTTAGCGTCCAAATCGACTGTCGATGACGGGGGAAGCACGCCGCCGACCATCCCGCAGTGTGAGTGCTCCATGCCGGAGGTGCGGTTCACACAGCGCTCGGTGCGCAAAGCACTCCTCTCCCTGGACATCCACCAGTCGAGTGGGCCTGACGGAATCCCCCCAATTATGCTAAGGACGTGTGCTCCAGAGTTGGCACCGGTACTAACGCGTCTTATCCGGTACTCCTACTCCCTAGGCGTAGTCTCGAAATCATGAAAGACGGCTTTCGTCCACCCGATCCCAAAAAAAGGCGATCGCTCAGATCCGTGAAACTACAGGCCTATCGCCATCACCTCCTTGTTCTCCAAAATAATGTAATTCATTATAAAGTGCCAGCTAATACGGTACTTTGAGGATCACCAGCTGATTACTGACCGCCAATACGGTTTTCTGACTCATCGATGGCCGGAGGCAGTAAAGTCCAAGGGAAGCACTAGCCGTTAGTTTGGACATTGCGAAGGCCTTCGATCGGGTTTGGCACAAAGCGCTTCTTTCGAAGTTCCCTTTCTATGGGCTTCCCGAGAATTGTGCGATTGGATCACCAGCTTTCTTGCAGATCGGAGCATCAAGGTCATTGTGGACGGTGCATGCTCCGATTACAGGCCTATTAATGCTGGCGTTCCACAAGGCTGCATGCTATCACCAACACTGTTTCTTCTGCATATCAATGACATGTTCCAAACCAGTAACATTCAGTGCTATGAGGATGACAGCACTGATGATGCTCTGTACACCGGCCGTGCCAATATTTTTCAGGAATACGTCTCCGAGTACCGGGATAAACTTGTGTCTGAAGTCGAGTCTTTGCTGAACGAAGTCTCGGATTGGGGGCGACTAAATCTAGTCCAGTTTAACCCTCAGAAGACACAAGTTTGCGCGTTAACCGCTAAAAAGAACCGCTTTGTCATATCTCTTCAGTTTCAAGGCACTCCCCTTGTTGCTTCAGCCAGTATCGGAATCCTCGGCGTCGACATATCGAGTGACGTGTAGTTTCGCGGTCACTTGGAAGAGAAGGCCAAATTGGCCTCTAAAAAGCTTGGCGTACTCAGCAGAGTGGGACAATATTTCATGCCGGCACACCGCCTGCAACTTTACAAGGCGCAGGTTCAGCCGCACACGGAATACTGTTCCCATCTCTGGGCTGGGGCTTCCCAGTACCAGCTCCTTCCACTTAACCGCATCCACTGATGATGCTCTGTACACTGGCCTTGCCAATATTTCTCAGGAAAACGACACTGAGTACCGGGACAAACTTGTGTCTGAAGTCAAGTCTTTGCTGTACAAATTCTGGGATTGGGGGATTGGGGCGACTAAATCTAGTCCAGTTTAACGATCAGAAGACACAAGTTTGCGCGTTAGATTCAGATTTTATCACGGATATTAACTTTAAAACTTTAATATATGCAATAAAATCCATAAAAATTAGTATTATTTAAATGTGTAGTGTTCGCATAAATATAAGAAATCATTATGTTTTATTTTATGCATAGGCCAAACATCATTATTTGTTACTACTACCTGGGAGCTTTTCATCTAAGTTCTTTTAATTAATTAATAATAATACACATAAGTATAACACTTACTAAAGGTAACTTTACTACTTACTTTTTTGGATAGCTGAAGATACGTAGATATATATAACCACATCTTCAGCCTACCTACCATAAATTTTTTTAATTTTTTATGAATTTATTTCTTTTTCTAACCTTCAATCGCAACTCAATTAGTTTGTACAACCTTGCTTAGTTACTTGCAATGTTGGTGTTGAAAATAATAAAACAACTTATCTACTACACAAATATTGAATTGAATGAAAAATTTAATGAAAGTCTTTAAAGTCCTGTATTTAAAAAGCAGTTCAGTTTGGAGTACTGTGTTTGATAGTCAAATCAGTCAGAAATGATGCACACCACAACCCCTTAACGGATCTAGGTCAACATAACCTGTAACCCTGTATATTTATTTAAATTTTTTTTATAGGATAGGGTGACAATCGAGCACACAGTCAACCTGATGGTAAGTGGTTGCTGTGAACCATAGACATCTACATTTATCTTCGATTACGAATAAAAATTCAGATGCATTGTCACCCGTGAGGACTAAGATGGAATGCCTCATTTCCAGTAAAAAGGGTCTCCGGTTCTCTACACTCACTATACGAAACATAGCAGCATCAAGGTACCATTTCACATTTCTGTGAGAGTGTGGTCCTTACCCTGTCGAGCCGACCCATTCGTGCTACAACTATACTACTAATATAACTGCAGCATAGCTCTATCACATACAATATTTATATTAAATACTTATAATATATAAAAAAAATATATATATATATATATATATATATATATATATATATATATATATATATAATACCACGTATAATATTTAAATAAAATTTTATTGATAGAGTGGCAACCTGGTAAGAGATGCAGAAAGTTGATGAATGCAGGTGGTTCAGGCCCTTGCTTTGTGGCATTCCTCGGGAGAGGCCTATGTTCAGCAGTATAGGATGTAATGAAGATGAAGAGGAATTTTATTTTCTCAGTGGTTGTAGTTTGCCTTAAAGGTATACAAACTTTATAAAGTATCGATTCTCTACGTGTGTTATTTTTAGCACAAAACCAAAATCCTTTCTTTTGACGGAAACAAATATTATGGGCAACGTCATTAAAAAGTTGCCTGTATTGTTATTTCAATTATTTTATTAATTTATTTACCTCTTCTTTCTCGATTTCATTTAAAGCCTTTTGTAGACCGTCCTCAGTAGAAACATCGTATTTTTCTAATAAAAGTGTTAACGACATTATTTATTTTGATGATTCGGTATTACAATACAATACCAATAAAACAATCAGAATTTCAGAATCAGATGATATCTGTCATCTGTCATGCAGCTAATTTGGCAGACACCGGCAGTCAATGACCTTTCTGAATTTCTGAAAAGGTACTCTATGCTTCTGAACTAGGCATGTCGATTCACTCTTCGAAAATCGATCTCTGAATCGATTCGAATCGAAGATACTAGAATCGATTATCGATTAAATCGAGGATTAAAAGATCGATTTTCGATTAATCGCGACACTTTCAAACACGAAATTTCAAGAATTTGCGATTTTTTCTTTAATTTAACTTCAATATTTTTTGAAATTAAAATATTAGTAATTAAATATTAGGAATATTAGTAATTTTAATTAATAAAATCTTATTAATTAAAATTACTAATATTCCTAATGATTTCTTATATTTACGCGAACACTACACATGATTAAAACTACTTTTACGGATTTTATCGCGTTTATTTTTGCTTTTAATTACTTTTATTTTTATTTTTAATTCCCGACGTTTCGGGCGCTTTCCAGCACCCATGGTCACGGGGGACTGAGATGACTGACGTCCCGATGTCATTGTTAAACCCGGAGTACCTTCAGCTTTTTTAATTATTGTTTACGGTCCGATCTATGCAAAATGAACTGACTATGTCTTGAGGTCTTGCAGTGGTATGTTTGGGTTTAGTTTTAATTTTATTGATTATAGGATCCCAAGCAGGTGGTAGTACCCAGCCTCCTTCTCTATTGAAATTAGGATGTTTTTTAATTTCAATAGCCTCACGTATCATCCTTGGTAGGAATCGGTGTTCTTTGAATGAAACCATGGTCAGTTTTGATGTTCAGTCTCTATTTACATGCCTACCTGTTGAAGACTGCATCTCAATTATAACTAGGAAACTAGAGGAAAATAACATGCCAGCAGAATATGCAGTATTACTAAGACATTGCCTTACAACTGGCTATCTATTGTGGAAGGAAGAGTTTTACAAGCAAGTAGATGGTGTTGCGATGGGCTCACCTGTATCTCCCATTGTCGCCGATATATTCATGGAAGACTTTGAGGAGAAAGCCCTCCTTACTGCACCTGTTACACCAAGGATCTACAAGCGGTACGTAGACGATACTTTCACAATTTTACCATCAGACAAAGTAACTGCATTTTTAGAACATCCTTAATTCCATAAACTCTAAAATTCAATTTACTATGGAGTTAGAGGCAAATAATTCCTTACCTTTCCTAGATATGTTAGTCATCCGAAATCCTAATAACACCATTGGTCACACTGTGTATAGGAAAAAGACCCATTTAAACGGTGAATCTCACCACCATCCTTCACAGTTAGCTACCGTGGGCAAATCTTTGTTACAGAGAGCACGAGGGATCTGTGACAGCAAACACCTGGCCGCCGAGCTTCAGCACGTCAAGCAAGTTCTGCACGACAACAAGCTTCGGGTCCCGCGCCTACGTCACAGTGACCGAGTGAAGCCGGCCACAGTCGAGCGTGTGCCTTGCTGTACTACCATATGTCAGAGGTGTCACAGACAAGATTGGCTATATCTTGAAGCGAGCTTCTATTAGAACATTCTACAAGCCGCCGAAGAAGATTAGTCAGTTCCTACCATCCGTCAAGTGTCATATTCCTCTACAAGATGCAGGAGTGTACAAGCTTGATTGTGAATGTGGTCTCTCTTATATAGGACAAACAAAAAGATCAATTTAGAACCCGCGTAAAAGAACATATAGCTGATGTGAAGCATCAACGTTCCGGGAAGTCTGCAGTTTGTGATCATATCCTGGACGGCCCCAACCATTACATCAGATTTGATAGACCACAAATCCTCGCGAAAGAACACCGATTCCTACCAAGGATGATACGTGAGGCTATTGAAATTAAAAAACATCCTAATTTCAATAGAGAAGGAGGCTGGGTACTACCACCTGCTTGGGTACACATCCTATAATCAATAAAATTAAAACTAAACCCAAACATACCACTGCAAGACCTCAAGACATAGTCAGTTCATTTTACATAGATCGGACCATAAACAATAATTAAAAAAGCTGAAGGTACTCCGGGTTTAACAATGACATCGGGACGTCAGTCATCTCCGTCCCCCGTGACCATGGGTGCTGGAAAGCGCCCGAAACGTCGGGAATTAAAAATAAAAATAAAAGTAATTAAAAGCAAAAATAAACGCGATAAAATCCGTAAAAGTAGTTTTAATCATACTAATATTCCTTTTAACCTCTCCTGGTAAGCTTGAAACGCTTGTTTTAGGGGTGGTTCGCCACTCGATCCCTTTTTTTACAAAGTGATTCCATGTATCACTTTTATTTGACATTATAGGCTGAAAACAACTACAATACTTTTAACAAAAGGGCAAACTGCAACGTACATTTCTCGATCAATCTGTTTCAATCTATTAACTCACTATTTATCAAATTAAAATGAATGCTACACGAACACAATACTGGTTATTTCCTTACTATAAACCTCTATAAACTTCAACATATAATATTTATTTACAGCGTCTAGATATATAGAAGTACTCCGTCTGTACTTACAGCTCACAGTATGTATGTTTTTGATAAAATAAATTCGCAAGTTCACAGTTCAAACAGGTTCACAGGTATAATATTAAATTATAGTATGTATATGTAGTTTTGTTCAAAGCACAGATTAAGTTAGACCAACATTCCACAGGTAAGAATAGAATTAGAAATTTAGAAATGAAAATGAAATGACAACTTTTCAATATTGTTGGATGCGTTCATAAATATTTATTTTATTCAAATATGCAATATGTAACGTAAGTAACGCATACCCTCAGACACCCGAATTAGTATATTATGTTATATACATAATACATACAGTGAATTTTTTAGTTAAACATTTTTATGCACTGATTATTTATCAAATTAGTTATACTAATTCCGGAAGAATGTTGTGGTCACAGTACAAATCCACGAACGCAAAGAATTTAACGTGCTTGAAATCAAGTTAATTTTTCTTTACTTTTATTGAATGGCAGAATTAGTAATAATACAAATAAAAAAATAACTACACTCTTATAAGTCTTATTGCCTTAAGTTACGGTCCATTTCAGTTTGTTTTGACTGTACAGATTTAGCGTGACTGTAATTTACGTAGTTTTAATTATTTTTGGGATAAAAAATTACCTATATTAAAAATGATAGGAATCGATTCAGTAAATAATTCTGAACAAACTACTTTCTCAAAGTGCGTTAATTACGTTACGTGTTGTATATTGCGTTCAAATTATCAACCAAGTAAGATCGGTTGTTTTTGCGTTCCCCAACAGCAAAAAATTAAAAAACTGCGGTATCTTAACCCAGCCAGTTTGGGAATTTTATCGCTGGTTCTAGAATCAGATGAATCGGTCCGATTTGAGAGGTTTTTGGATCGATTCAGTGAATCGATGCGGTGCACTGAATCGATCTAAAAAATTATTTTGCTCCAAAGAATCGATTTTTTGATTAATCGATTTTGGATCGACGTGCCTATTCTGAACGTTTATCAGAATTCTTTTCTATAAAACACCAATTAAGGTTTTAATACTAATATTACTTTAACTAACAAATTAAATTTGCAAATGAAACTTTTAAGAGGACAGTGTATTGCAACATTCTCTTTCATAATAATTATTAAAATATTACGAAAATGGGCAACACGACACATAGATCACTGGCATTTAAATTTTATCTGTGCGTGTACAAGAAATACGTTCTGATTCTGATTCCATTTGGATGCCTCAGAAGTTCAGAACAATAATCTAAGTTTTAATTATATTACATTCTTTAGAAAGTAAAATCATATTAACGTTATGCTATAGATGTTTTTAAAATGTAATCATAAAGTTATTTCAAAATACTTCCACCTAAATCGTCTCCTTGTTTACTAATTTTACAATAAGCGTATTGCTATGTTGATATTCTGAACGCACGTAAAGTGAAGTATTGTGGGAATGTGAGATGTCCAACCCGTGTAACAGTAAACATAAAATTTTTAGTGATTAAAAAATCGATGTGTGTATACTAGTTGTGTGTTTGAACCTCAGGGCGCCTAATTATAATTTTGCGCTCCTTTGAGGAACTTTTTCCTGTGCCGTATACATTAATCCTTAAAGGTAAGACAGGGCAAGGAGCAGTGACATTAGCATAAATTATCGGGAGTTGCAAACATTGGCTTTTACCTCGAAATGTGTGACCTCCTACGTATCATTTCGACATTACTTTTACATTGTTGTCGTAATAGTGCGAGTTCTTTTTGTTACATTAGACGATTTTCGACATGTGAGGTTTTATCAATTTAATTTGTTGATCGTGGATCTGCTTGGTCGTAGATTGACTCCGTGTGGGGTTGGGCTTCGCCCCCGCTGCGGTTGCAGCTGGGTAACGCGCGTGGACACAAAAGGTAAGGCCACCTTTGTATATAATAGTATATTAACTCTTTTTCTTCCATCCTTTAATAGTTAGAAAGTGATGCATTTTATCAAAGAAAGTTCATGTTTAAAAGACTTTAAGAAACCTCTTTTCTATAGAATAAGGGTGGCATACAAGCCATGTTCTACTTTATATTAATTGCACTATGTGGCTAATACACATATTAGCCACAGTTAAAAATCAAAATACTGATGCGTTTCGGCTCTTGAGGACTAAGACACAAAGCATACTAGCATTATATTTCTATTATTTTTATTGACTCATTTTTGTTATAACCAAAAATAACCGCAATAAGGCTCTATCATGTATATACTTCTATTGGGATATGTTACTTTATGAACAATATAGGGTAAAACTTTACCAATTTTCATTGTATTTATATGCATTGTCACTACTGTGAATATATTTAATATGATATTTAGTTCAAATGCATCAGGTTGCATAGCTATAGTAAATTATCCTGACTTAGTTGTTTATGTCTAGAGACTGATAAAATCTAAAATCAAACCTATGTTGTTAAGCAATCTATTACTGACTCTGACAATTAAATGTAATATTGTAGATAATCATAAAATGCTTACACTTATGTGAAGGTTATAAGTGTAGTTAGACCTGGTTGAGGGCGCTGTTGTAGAATCTTGATATCATCCGTGCAAAGCCAGTGCATATCACTAGTATACAATAAATATGCAAAACATTATTCTTACTTTTATTATATAATGGTTATATAAGAGGGACTTAATAAGAGACGGGTGTAAGTTATTTGCTTTAATGCTAATTATTTTTACAAAATATTAGTACATAATGTATAAATCTATCCTTTCTTGACATTCTGTTAACCAACTCACTAAATTTCATCACTAAAGATGACAATTTTGGTTTGTACTGCAAACATTTAGGACTAGGTTTGTGATATTATTAAAGTAGTTTTTAACTTCTAAAATTAATCATAACTTGCAAAATAATTTACATATATGTTTACATAATGATGTACAAATAACACTGCAGCTATGCAATAGCCTTCCCTGTACAAATTCAAATATTTTGTAACAGTGAACTCAATTGATATTTTATTATTATTACAGCCACTCACAAGTCCAGTGCTAAACGTAGGCTTACCCCAAGGAATGGCCGCAAAGCGTGGTACAGAGCCACCTGTATCTATCGATTTTTTGTATCTCTTACCAAGTTGTAACTCCATAAAGTGGGGACCATTCCACACTTTGCTTATCGGTACAAGACTGCTACTCCATCTAGTGGGGGGTCGCCCTACACTACGTCTACCAGTTGAGGCTGCCACTCGGGAACCTTTCTTCCCCATCGGCTATGAGTTCTTCGAGCTATATGGCCGACACATTGCCACTTCATATATACCTTAATTGATAAATTAATTCTAATATATAAAATAAGCGAAGAGATAGATAAATGTAGTAAGCCTAGAAGGTGGATCATAGAGACTTGTTTTTTTTTATAAAAGCATAAATATGTATATCATAACCTGTTATCACAAAAAAAATTAAATAAAAAAAGACTGCTAGCAAAACATATTTAGGCATTTATTGGGAACTTCCATTGGCATTGCTGTGTAGTGGCGGTTAAGCATATCCACTACCACATATCTTCCCGTGGGTGTCGTAAAAGGCGACAGAGGGAGACAGGCAGGAAATGGGCAGCAGCATCTTCCTAATAACAACAATAATATAATAAAAAACCAACTCGCTCGCCAAGCGTGGCAACTATGGCAATATACCCCCCATGAACAATTACACAAAAAGATGGCCCCCAGTCCCCGGCGGCCCCGCTTTTCCTTGCTACGGTGGCGACCATGGTACCGGCGGGGCAGGGGGTGCTAAGAATCTCTGGTGGAGGTTCGGTTGCCACCTGCGACGACTCAATCTGGCAACATATAATGCATGAACTCTGAGGACTGACGAGAAGATCCTGGAGCTGGAAAAAGAGATAGACAAGTTGCGCTGGAATATTAAAGGATTACCCGAGGTCCGAAAAGTGGGGGAGGACACGGTGATTCTCGAATCCGGCAACTTGTTATATCACCGGGAGGGCGACCATCTGTCTCAAGGAGGTTTTTTTTATAGAAGAAGGGCCAAATGGGCATGTGGTCACCATCACCTGATGTTAAGTGACTACCGCCGCCCATGATCAACCTCAACACCAGGGGAATTGCAGGTGCATTGCCGGCCCTTTAGAAAGGAGTAAGCTCTTTTCTTGAAGGTCCCCAGGTCGTATCGGTCCGGAAAAATCGCCGGTGGTAAACTATTCCACAAAGAGGTCGTACGCGGAAGAAAACTCCTTGTGAAACGTACAGTGGTGGACCGCCAAGCATCCAGATGGTGTATTGGGACGTTTTCCGCGTAGGGCATTCACGAAATTTGGCGGCTGGGATTAATCCGAACAATTCCTCAGAGCACTCCCCATTGTATATGCGAAAGAAAATGCAAAGAGATGCAACATCTCTCTTTTCATTTAGAGGCCAATTTAGCCTTCTCTTCCAAGTGACCACGAAACTGCACGTCACTCGATATGTCGACGCCGAGGATTCCGATACTGGCTGAGGCAACAAGGGGGAGTGCCTTGAAACTGGGGAGATACGACAAAGGGGTTCTTTTTAGCGGTTAACGCGCAAACTTGTGTCTTCGGGGGGTTAAACTGGACTAGATTTAGTCGCCCCCAATCCGAGACTCTATTCAGCAAAGACTCGACTTCAGACACAAGTTTGTCCCGGCTCTCGGAGACGTTTTCCCGAGAAATATTGGCTCGGCCGGTGTAAAGAGCATCACCAGTGCTGTCATCTGCATTGCAATGAATGTTACGGGTTTGCAACATATTGATATGCAGAAGAAACAGCGTTGGCGATAGCACGCAGCCTTGTGGAACACCAGCATTAATAGGCTTGCAATCGGAGCTTGTACCGTCTACAACGACCTTGATGCCCCGATCTGCAAGAAAGCTCAATCCAATCCAATCGCACAATTTCTCGGGAAGCCCATAGTAAGGGAGCTTCGAAAGAAGCGCTTTGTGCCAAACCCGATCGAAGGCCTTCGCAATGTCCAAACTAACGGCCAATGCCTACCCCTTGGACTTTACTGCCTCCGGCCATCTATGAGCTAGGTAGACCAGAAGATCAGAACCGTATTGGCGGTCACTAATCAGCTGGTGATCCTCAAGGTAACTCATGAGCCGGCAGTTAACAATAGACTCCATTGTTTTGGAGAACAAGGAGGTGATGGCGATAGGCCGGTAGTTGGACGGATATGAGCGGTCGCCTTTTTTAGGGATCGGGTGGACGATAGCCGTCTTTCATGATTTTGGGACTACGCCTAGGAAGTAGGAGTACCGGAAAAGACGCGTTAAAACCGGTGGCAACTCTGGAGCACACGTCCTCAGCACAATTCGTCAGGCCCACTCGACTTGTGGATGTCCAGGGGGAGGAGTGCTTTGCGAACTGAACGCTGTGTAAACTGCACTTCCGGCATGGAGCACACACACCGCTGGATGGTCGGCGGCGTACTCCCTCCGTCATCGAGAGTCGAGTTGGACGCAAAGAAAGAGCCTAGCAGATCGGCTTTCTCTTTTGCGGTATGGGCCAGTGAGTCGTCCTCCCGGTGCAGAGATGGAAGAGATGGCTGACAGAAATTCCCCTGAACAGCCTTGGCGAGACACCAGAATGCACGGGTTCCAGAAGGAAGGCGAACTAGTTTCTCGCCAATTCTGCCTATGTGCTTTGACTTTGCCTTGGCAATGACTCTTTTGAAGGACCTAGAGGCGGAATTATACTTCTTTTTTATAGCGCTGGTGTTTACATCCCGGGACGCTGATGCGTCAGGCGAGGCTTGGTAGCACTCCTTCTTATAGCATGATGCTATTTTACAGGAGCGACCAAGCCATGGCTGAGATTTGCCTCCAATGGGCACCAGGAGGAAGGAATAAAAAGTTCCATACCCTGAAGTAACACATCAGCGACAGAATCCGCAATTGATCAAAAACAAAACCCCCCCAACCACGCCAAACCGGGGCCCCCAAAAACAACCTTCACGGGGGGCCCCACCCCCAAGACAATAGTCCGAGGAGCCTAAAGGGGTGTCAACGGAAATCTGATACCCGTCCGGGTGAGAGTTCAGCAGAAGGTCCAACAGGGAAGGTGCATGATCCTCCACATCTGGAATCCGCGTAGACGAAGTAACCAGTTATGTCAGTGTGTGTTGGATTTATCGTTCACAAGTCTCTTGTTAAAACGTTTTAAAGATTGGGAGTGTATCGACGAGTGTTGCGTACCTTATACTCAGAATCACCAAACGGTATTCGCTGAAGGTCATACAGGTTTACGCGCCAACGTCGGAACATCCCGATGAGGAGGTGGAGAAAATGTATGAGGATATTTCTAGAGCCATGCATTCCTCCAAAACTCACTATACGGTGTTAATGGTAGACTTCGACGCAAAACTGTGCACAAGAAAGAACGGTGAGCAGCATACAGGCAACTAAACAGACAGATCTCCAAATGCATGCGGTGAGACTTACGCAACTTTAATACTGCTCGTATTGAAGAAGCAATCGTGCGGAACCAGGGCTCCTATGTCTTTGCCGGAGATCTGTCTGCCAGAAAGAGCCAACTGTCAAAGCTGAAGACTGATTGTGGCAGCATCGTTTCTGGGACACCTGAGATTTTGAGTGAGATTAAGATTGAGAGGTTCTAAGGGCAGCGTACTATCGCCGACGCTGTTTCTTCTGTATATCAATGATATGTTGCAAACCCGTAAAATTCATTGCTATGCAGATGGCAGCACTAGTGATGCTCTGTACACCGGCCGTGACAATATTTCTCGGGAAAACGTCTCCAAGTACCGGGACAAACTTGTGTCTGAAGTCGAGTCTTTGCTGAACGGAGTCTCGGATTGGGTGCGACTAAATCTAGTCCAGTTTAGCCCCTAGAAGACACAAGTTTGCGCGTTAACCGCAAAAAAGAACCTCTTTGTCGTATCTCCCCAGTTTCAAGGCACTCCCCTTGTTGCCTCAGCCAGTATCGGTATCCTCGGCGTCGACATATCGAGTGACGTGCAGTTTCGTGGTCACTTGGAAGAGAAGGCCAAATTGGCCTCTAAAAAAGCTTGGCGTGCTCAGCAGAGCGGGACAGTATTGTCCCGCTGCTGAGCACCACCATGCCGGCACACCGCCTGAAACTTTACGTCGCAGGTTCGGCCGTACATGGAATACTGTTCCCATCTCTGGGCTGGGGCTCCCCAGTACCAGCTCCCTCCACTTAACCGCATTCAGCGAAGAGCGGCTCGAATCGTCTACGACCGAGTGCTTTCAGATCGGCTCGATTCACTGGCGCTGCGAAGGGATGTTGCATCTCTTTGCATTTTCTTTCGCATATACCATGGGGAGTGCACTGAGGAATTGTTGGCATTAATCCCAGCCGACAAATTTCGTGAACGCACTACGCGGCAAACGTCCCGATACCATCCACACCATCTGGATGCTTGGCGGTCAACCACTGTACGTTTCGCACGGAGTTTTCTTCCGCGTACGCACTCTCTGTGGAATAGTTTACCACCGGCGATCTACCGGACCGATACGGCCTGGGGACCTTCAAGAATAGAGCTTACTCCTTTCTAAAGGGCCGGCAACGCTCCTGCAATTCCTTTGATGTGTTCGTAGTCACGTGATGCCAAAAATAATGGCCCCACACGATCCAAGAGCAAGTCTTATCCAACACTATTCCGATGAACGTCCGGGATGTCAGTCTCAGCGAGATTAGAATGGCTCTCCAGCACCTTAAAAACGGCAGGGCCCCAGGCTACGATGGAATTACAGCGGAGCTTCTGAAAGCGGGTGGAACACCGGTACTTAAAGTCCTTCAGAAGCTCTTCAATTCCGTCCTCCATGGTGGCACTACTCCGGAGGCGTGGAGCAGAAGTACGGTGGTCTTGTTCTTTAAGAAAGGCGACAATGCTCTCTTGAAGAATTACAGACCGATTTCCCTTCTGAGCCGCGTCTACGTGCTGTTTTCGAGAGTCATTACGAATCGTCTCGCACGCAGACTCGACGACTTCCAGCCTCCCGAACAAGCCGGTTTCCGAAAAGGCTTCAGCACCATAGACCAGATACATACCCTGCGGCAGATTGTACAGAAGACCGAAGAGTACAATCTGCCACTTTGCCTGGCGTATGTGGACTATGAGAAAGCCTTCGATTCCGTTGATTCCGTTCCGAAATTTGGGCGGTGCTATAGTCCCTTCAGCAGTATCAAGTTGACTGTCGGTATATCGAAGTGCTGAAGTGTTTGTACAGTAGGACTACGATGGCTATCCGAGTACAGAACCAGAGTTCGAAACCTATCCAACTGCAGAGAGGTGTAAGACAGGGTGACGTTATATCCACGAAACTCTTCACCGCTGCATTGGAAGACGTTTTCAAGCTACTGGACTGGAAAGGATACGGTATTAACATCAATGGCGAGTACATCACTCACCTTCGATTTGTCGACGATATAGTCCTTGTGGCAGTATCGCTGGAGGACTTAAGCACTATGCTCAATGACCTCAATGGTGTCTCCCAACAGATAGGTCTTAAGATGAACATGGACAAAACAAAGATTATGTTTAATGTTCATGTCACACCTATGCCGGTAGTTGTTGGGAGCACTATGCTCGAAGTTGTTGACGAGTACGTTTACCTGGGACAAATAATCCGACTAGGTAAGTCCAACTTCGACCGAGAGGTCAATCGACGGATTCAACTCGGCTGGGCAGCGTTCGGAAAATTACGACACATCTTCTCGTCAGGTATACCTCAAACTCTGGAAACTAGATTGTATAACCAGTGCATGTTGCCTGTGACTTACAGATCTGAGACGTGGTCCTTCACTGCTGGCTGTATGAGGACGCTCAAGGTCGCTCAGAGAGCTATGGAGAGGGCTATGCTCGGACTCGGCTCGGCTATTTCTGCGTGATAGACTCAGAAATGAGCATATCCGCAGTAAAACGGATTAGTAAGCAGAAGTGGCAATGGGTCGGCCATATGGCTCAAAGAACCGATAACCGATGGGGAAGAAAGGTTCTCGAGTGGCAGCCTCGTACCGGTAGGCGTAGTGTAGGGCGACCCCCCACTAGATGAAGTGACGACCTGGTAAGACATGCAGGAAGTTGATGGATGCAGGTGGCTCAGGACCGTGTTTTGTGGCATTACTTGGGGGAGGCCTATGTTAGCGCTTTACTGTATGATGATGATGTTTTTTATATATTTTTTGGTTTATGTATGTTAGGTAATATCAATATTTTTTTTTATCACTACTGCATTAAACTAAAAAACATGGTATAATATGTATATCTTAGGCTATACTCCACTGTAAATTTAGTTTCTGTTTGTTTTCTCCCTACTTATTAATAAATGAGTCATTTTAATATAACATTAAATTTTAATTTTAATACTTCTGTACATTCACCCTATAGTAAAATGTGGATTACAGTATTGATTGTATGATTATTAAGCATATATATAGTATTACGTTTAGTGATAAGATTATATTGTACAGTTGTTTGTTACCTCAAATAAAGAAAAAAGAAGGTATATATATATATATATATATATATATTGCTATAACATGTTGCAGAATGGGCGAGGGCGGGTCGCCAGGCGGCGGCGGCAGTGGCGCGCGGCTGTCGCACACGTCTGAGAAGCACCCACGCGCCATCCTCGGCGAGCTGTCAGCTCTGCGGAGGCACAGGGAACTATGCGATGTCGTGCTCAATGTTGCCAACCGTAAATTATTCGCTCACAGGTAGTATTTATTAAAAGTTATCTGTTAATTTTCTTAATTTCATGTATTGTAACTGATAAATACAATCCCAATTATCATTGGACCTAGTTGAAATTTGTATGGGATTACGAAAGTATACACTTTACTTATATAAATGAACATCAAAGTAGTTGTCTGTAGATTAAGTCACTATACTTTTCACTGGGTTATGGAACTCCTTTTTGCCTAGGTGTTTGTTTGGATAGGTATTATCTTGTTACCCATCTCTGCTGCTAAAAACAGTATTTGCATTGTTGTGTTTGAGTCTGAAATGTAAAGAGAGACAGTATAATAACGTGATGTGTGGCATTTCATCTTAGTCCTCAGAGGTGGCAATGTATCTATAAACTTCTTTGTATGAAATTAGCTGTAATCACTTAACATCAAATGGACTATGAGGTTGTTTGTTATTTCATATTAAAGTTATGGATTCTATAAAACTGGACTGATATGTAGTATACGCGGTGGAAAAGGAGTAAGAATCAGATATTTTCTTTTACAGAGTAATACTGTCAGCATGTAGTCCATATTTCCGGGCGATGTTCACGGGCGAGCTGGCAGAATCACGGGCTACTGAGGTGACGATCCGCGATGTCGACGAGCAAGCCATGGAGCAGCTTGTCGAGTTTTGCTACACAGCACATATAGTTGTCGAGGAGAGTAATGTACAGGTAAAGAAAAAAATATTTATGCATCTTTTCGCTTTGTGGCGGTGGCGTAAGAGAACCTTTCACCCCATTTCGTCCCGTGGGTGTCGTAAGAAGCGAGTATGTGTAATGCCACGAATTTTCTGATGATTCCCGATAGATGCCAGTATATCCATCTTGTTTATACCAGATACAAAACACCCATACTTGCAACAGGCAGAAAGATCAGAGGCACTGAGATTGCCTATTCCCCTGTTAAGTATGACGATTAAGACAAATCTTCCTTACAATGGGAGAAGTTTACATCCAGAAGTGAAATTTTACTATGTATAGGCATAGAGATTTTTGTTCTCTAGATTTAGTTAAATGATTTTTTGCAACCAATAGCTTTTGCTCAATCTGTTTAGTTTTGTCTATATTTTTAACCGAATTAAAAAAAGAGTAGGTTCTACAATTTGACTGTATTTTTTGTGAGTTACCTCAGAGACCTTTTTTTTGGATGAACCGATTTTTGGAGATTCTTTTTTTTCTTTTCATTATTTTATTTGAATGCTGGTGCTTCTCCTGTGGTCCCATGTAAATTTGATTAAAAACCAAGCAGCAGTTTTTGAGTTATCCTAAATAATGCATATTTAATTGACTTCAACTACATTGATGATCTCATTTTATTCATATTGAAGTCAGTTGTACAAAATATTTAATTTTATCACTTGTTTAAATTGTTAATTATATAGTGTTATGGACTTTTTATACTTATAATACTTGTTACTTAAATACCATTTAATTTGAAACCATGAGAAACTTGACATGGATCTGATTATTCATGTAATGCATATATTATACTAAACTTAACTATAAGACTGAATTACTTAACTAAAAGACTGCTAGAGAAAATAAATGCTTTTCACAAGGAGGTTGATGTTTGCTACATCGCAGTGAATAAATTTGTCGGAAAGTATAACATGATAAGATCATTATGTAGGAAATAACAGGATAGCGTTAATTATAAAAATGGTAAAAGTGTGAGAACTGATGTTCAACTTGCTCTCTTGCTTGCGCAATTTATCATTTTCAATAATAGGACAGCGTAACGCTCTATACATTCGGCATAGAGTAATTACAGTTTGACCATACCGCAATATGTCCCCATCACAATTACACACCAGTGTGAAGACACAACTACACGATAACACCAAATTGTGCAAACTAACAGCAACCTTACCCATCTTAACGTAGCATAGCACAGCCTCTCAGCAACACCATCCTCCTTGTCTGCACCAGAAGAATCACCACAATGGACAGACCAACGACTATCTTAGCACGCGTAGAATGATTTCACTCGTGAAACGACTCAAGCAGAATCTCCCGCGCTCTGCACCTACACTGAACTTTATACTGCACAAGTTTAGTTAGTTTAGTTTGCAACGGGCTGTTTTTCCGCAACTCCACGTCTCTGCGCGTATTTTGCGTGTGGGCAGGAATAATGTGTATTATTCGAGCCATGAGATCTCCCCGAAGGAGCTCAACAGTCCCTTGATGTTGCATGCAACTTCGGGGAGTGATCCCGGCGTGCCGAGATGTTTAGCCCTGTACGTAGCGACCTCCGGACATTTCAGTAGCACGTAGGGCCGCCGTTTCTTCCTCCCCCACACTGCCGCACAGGGGACTATCTGTAACACCTATAGTAAATAAATGTTTGTTAAAGGTGCCATGTCCTGTGATAGCACTAGTTACTATCCTGATCTGCGGCTTGTTCAGTCTCATTAGAACTTTGGTTAAGCGACTGTTTATTACAGGTAGGGCCCCCCTAGCTTGTCTACAGTCTATTGATTTTTCCAAAGCTGAGCGTGTTGATTAGTGAAGTGTCTACGTACCATTGAACGAACGTTACCAAAGGGGATTGGTATGATTGGTTCCGGCCCTATAGTGGCCAGAGCCGATCCTCTTCTGGCCAGTTCGTCCGCTGCATCGTTGCCTCTGGATCCACTGTGTCCCTTTATCCATTGTAGAGTCACATTGTTGTTTTTACATACCTCATTTAATCGTTGATGGCATTCATATATTAGTCCCGAGTTCACCCCATTGCAACTCAGAGCTTGTAGTACCGCCCTACTGTCGGTCAGTATTCTGATGGGGAAGTCATTAACCTTCCTAGCATCTATTGCTATGGCCGCTTGAATGATACCCATACATTCCGCCTGAAAGACCGTGTTATAGGTACCCAGCGGTGTGCATATGTGAATATTGAGGTCTTCAGGGAAAGCTCCAGAACCTACACCTTCATTTGTTTTAGAACCATCGGTGAAAACTCTAAGCTCTTTTGGGCTTAATCCTTCCGGCTGGATGTTTTCACATAATTGTATCTTGTATTTCTTATCGAAAACAAATTGTTTAGGAATCCTATCGTATTTGGCTTGTAGGATAGGAATTTCTGAGTGAATTCTATCAATTATGCCTGTATGAGGGACACTATTCTTACTCCAAAGATTTAGGGTCTTGAGTCTGATGGCAGCTAAAGTCGCTTCTTGTTGTATATGTAGATGAAGCGGAGTTAGCTCCAGAATCGCTTCCAAGGCTGCTGTTGGCGTAGTTCTTATGCAGCCTGTGGCAGCCATACATGCCAGTCTCTGGTAGCGCTGAAGCTTCTTAATTGTGGTGGCTTCATTGGTCTTGGTCCACCATACCAGAGCGCCGTATGTGATCATGGGCCGGATTCAGTTTTGTAAAGCCACAGTATGATTTTTGGCGTCAGTCCCCATCTTTTGCCAATCATGTTTCTGCATTGCCAGAAAGTTATACTAGCTTTGTTGATTTTGTTTTCTATGTTTTTATTCCAGTTAAGTTTGCTGTCCAAGGTAAGACCTAAATATTTTACCTCAGAGGATAGCTGGAGTTTTGTGCTGAAAAGACTTGGAAGATGATAGTTATTCAGCATCCGTTTTTGTGTGAACATTACTAAAACCGTTTTATTTGGGTTGACGGTTAAGTCGTATTCCCTGCACCATCTCTCCACTATACGGAGAGCCGCTTGGGTCAGGTCGCACACTATGCTAGCTGTCTTTCCCGAGACTAGTATAGTCAGGTCATCAGCATAACCTACTGTATAAAAGTGAGTAGTATTTAATTTGCTGATGAGTTCATTAATGACCATATTCCACAGGAGAGGTGAGAGGACCCCACCCTGCGGGCAACCTTTCTTAATTAGGATTGGTTGAGATTCACCAGCAATCTTTATTATTCGTGTACTGAGCATGCAAACTATCCAGTCGATTAGTGCCGATTCAACTTTATGTCTACTGAGTGCACCTTTTATGCTGGAGAAGTTTGTTCTGTGGCCGTGGTAGGAAAAGGGGAGATCTCCAGCCGGGCAAGGTGTTCTGCCCGGGGAGCGGCCAGCACTCCGAGTGATAGTTCGGAGAAGTTCTATATATACTGTCTACGATTCGGAATGTTAATAGCGCGATTTAGGCTTCGGTGTGTTTCGGTGTGTGGCGCGATGACAGCGCCGCTACATCACACCCCTGCTCAGACCGGAGGTCGATAGTGTAGCCTCGTTGCCGACGAATGTGTAAGTGCCAGGAGATTGCCTTGTAGTCTGCGGTGAGTCGAGAAGAAGGCAAGTAATCTGCGAGAGTGCCGTGAAGCAGAGGCGAGCAGTAAGGCTCAGAGCCGTGCCGAACACTGTATAGCGCAGAGAGTAGCTTGAAGGAACAGGAAGCATTATTATTCCAGTGCTGCGATGAACCTTGTGAAGCTAGATGGCTTGCAGGATATGAAGACTGCAGACGATATCTGTTCGGGAGCGAATAGGTGGGGTATTCTATGACGATGATAAAGCTTGAAGTTTCCGAAGGTTGTCGGTTGCGTGTATTCAAGATCACGTCGGGGTCACCACTGTGGCCGTGGTAGGAAAAGGGGAGATCTCCAGCCGGGCAAGGTGTTCTGCCCGGGGAGCGGCCAGCACTCCGAGTGATAGTTCGGAGAAGTTCTATATATACTGTCTACGATTCGGAATGTTAATAGCGCGATTTAGGCTTCGGTGTGTTTCGGTGTGTGGCGCGACGACAGCGCCGCTACAGTTCTGTCAAAAGCACCTTCTATATCTATGAAGGAACCTAGACATATTTCTTTGTTTTGGATGGCCCCTTCAATCTTAGTAATTACCTGATGAAGTGCCGATTCTGTTGATTTGCCTAGACTGTAGGCGTGTTGCTTGTCGTGTAGTGGTAAGTTCATTAGCGCCGACCCCCTTAATTCCCTTTCACACATCCTCTCCATCGTCTTTAGGAGAAAGGATGTGAGGCTAATGGGCCTGTAGGATTTAGGGTCAGTGTAATCGCTCTTACCTGGTTTGGGTATAAATGTGATTTTCACTTCCCTCCATCCCCTAGGAACATATTTTAGAGCCAGACAGGCTCTCATTATGGCAACAAGTCTGACTATTAGGGCTTTACCCCCCCACTGTAGAAGTGCCGGGAATATGCCGTCAGGTCCTGCCGCCTTATAGGGGAGGAAACTGTGAATGGCCCAATGGATTTTGTCCATCGTTACCACTCTCTGTGCTAAATTCCAGTCTTCTACTGTTGGTGTCAGTATGTCGTCATGCCGGTTTGCCTCCTGGGTTAAGCAGCAACCTGGGAAGTGCGTTTTAATTAGGATGCGTTGGGCTTCATCCGGCGATGTTGAGTAGCTACCGTCGGGTTTCTTTAGAGACATGGATCCCGACGTGTTCTGTTTAGCTAGAATATTCCTTATCCTATTTGCTTGTTTGCAGGTTTCTATGTTGCCACAGAATTTACGCCACCCAGTCGAGCGTCGATACCTGATACATTTTTTGTATTCAGACTTAGCTTTCTTATATAGTAGCCAGTCTTCATCCATTGAGGTATTCATGGCCCTGTTTAGGGCTTTTCTTACCTTCTTGCGTTTCCTATCGAGTTCTACACCCCACCACTGTTGCTTTACCTCGGCATGTCTTGGTGGAGTGATTTCTGGACATGATTCATGGTAGCTATCTATCATGCTATATGCCTTAGTAACAGCTGCTACCTGTTCTTCTAGGAGCGACTGATCTGCTATAGTATTTATCCCCTCAGAACCCGCGAGCGAAGACGTCAACTTATTTAGGTATTTTGTTTTATCCGTCTTGCGGGGATTTCTCCATGGTGGTGTAGAGGGGATATCGACCTGTAGTGCGAAGCAGATCCATCTATGGTCTGAGCATGAGGCCTCTTTCGACACATGCCATTCCGTAATTAGTTTGGCTGCTCCTTCTGTTGCAAGTGTGAGGTCGATTATAGTGCGACAGCGTTTGTTTATGAAAGTAGGTTCAGAACCTATGTTTAAAATGGTTAGGTTAGTACTAAATAAAAATTCAACTAAAACCTTACCTCGTTCATTAGGTTTTTCCATTCCCCAAAGGGGATGATGTGCGTTGGAGTCCGTCCCGATCACAACCTCTAGTCCTCTAGTCCGGCATGTAGACCGAGGCGACGACTAACCTTCTCTCCTGTGTGTATTGTATTGCCACGGCATACATGTCTCTAGAACAGAAATCTGTTAATGGTTGTGCACAGATATCTTTAGTAGTGTAGATACACGCTCTAGGCTTGTCGTGTTCAGAGCTGTAGAATAGCTTACCTTTTAGGTTGTTTAGGCCTTTAATTTTACCAGCCCCAACCCACGGCTCCTGGATTAAGGCTATGGCAGTCTTTTGAACCTCTAACCACTTGCGTAATTGAGCCGACGCAGTTTCGCTGTGGTGGAGGTTGGCTTGCACTAGGCTAGTTTTGGACGAAGGGCACGCCATCATTGATCGCGTCCTCCCCGTCCCCGCCCAAAAATAGGCCTGCCAGAAGATCTCGGGTCTCTTCGTCAGCCACCGAGTCGGAAGTGGTCGGCAAAATGCAGTCCTCTTCGTCACTCAGTGAGCTGCCGCTGAGCCCGGTCTCCACTGGGGGCTTTGGCTCAGTTGTGCAGGCCGTTTCTTCACTGGACTTGGCCTCCAGTGATTCCACTGTACCGGTAACCGTGGCTCCGGTATCCATAACTTCCGGGCTGTTTTCTACCTCTTTGCTCGGTGGAGTATCAAAGAATTTACCTCCACGACCCTGGAATTTTACGTATACCGCCCCGCATACGCATGCGAGACGGCGTCCGGCCTTCATCAGGGTCGGGATGTGATCCTCCGGCACCGAAACAACGAGGAACCACCCGTCCGTCTGCTTATCAGCCTTGAGTAACAGCCAGTCCCTGATGTTAACCCAGCGGTTCTGGTACGCCAGCACGCGACCAATGTCACGTGAGTCTTTCCAGGCTCCTTGGGCATCAGGGATTAGGATACCACATTTGACTCTTTGTGGTATCTCTGACTGTTTTTTTATAGTCAGCAAGGTGTTGGATTTAAGATCGAGGGTAGCAATATTCCCCTTCAACCAGTCCAGAGCCTTCTGATCGTCGCACCACAGTTTCAGGACACCCTCCGTATATACGGGTTTGCCCCTAAAAACTGGGCCCGACGCATCAGGGTCCTGACTACTCCACGCCTCGCTGATTATCTTCCTCTGTATTGCTACGAGGATGTCGTCTGCTACTTCCTTCGTAATGTGACCTGAACGCGCACACGTTAAGGCCACACCCAAATCTGCTCTAGCAGCGGAAGCGTAGCTCGTTTTTGCAGCCTTTGGTTGCTGTCCGAGTCGCACTTTTTTGTGCTCCCCTCTAGGCGAGGTGGACTCTTCCAGCATCCTTTTGGCTGCTCTTTCTTTCTTCCCAGGACGCTTGGCCGCTCGCTGCTTCCTGGCGGATATCCTAGAACTGGTTCCTGCGGCCGCGACTTCCACTTGGTCTGGATTTTTATCCTTCCCAGCTTCAGTGCGGCTACTGGTTCCAGCTCCAAGCACCCCAGTCGCAGTAGCTTGCCCAGCCTCCTTGGTTTTAGTTTCAGAAGCAGCCAGTGCGGCTCGTTCCCTTCGGCCTTTTTCCCGCTGCTTCTTGTTCTTCTTTTTGGCCTTTCCACTACTGCCTGCAGGGATAGACCCTCCTGATGGTCCGTCAGGTCGGCAAGTCACCTTTTTGGGTGCCTTGCCTTTCCCCCTTACGGCTCACCACTTGCCAGGCAGCAGAGAAAAGGTCGTCAGTTCGTATTGGCTCCGCAGTTTTGTCACTCGCGGGCTCCTGTTCTTTTTTCCCCCCCAGCTCCTTGGAACTGGTTTTGGAAACGTTCAGCGAGGTAGTTGTCCCTTTGATGGGGGCACCTGCGCTGGACGGTACTGTCCGTGGAACCGCCGGTTTAGTGACGGTTCCCCCTTGTTCATTGGTGTCTCTGGTAAGCACCTCTGACACCTCTCCCTCTTTCTTTTTGGGCCTTAAATTGTCCATAGTATTTGTTCTTTAAAATTCATCCCCCCGGCTTCCCACCCTCCATGGAGCCCGCACCTTTGGGAACGCCCTATTTCAGGCGTTAGGATTACCGGGAGAATATAGGGACGCGAAGTTGGCTCACAGCGCGACATCGGGAGCTCGATCCAGCTGGTAGATGGGGCTGACAAGGCCCATCCCCACCACCCAAATAAACTGTCACTTGCTCCGTCAGCATGGCCTTTACCACCACCCAGCCCCCCTTTTCAGGAAAACTAGGCAGCCCCCACATCCCTCGCCTGCGACCCTCTGACGGGGCGCTTGGCCATTTCCCTATCTGTGGCTAGCAGATAGGGCCACCGTTTAGCTTGAAATCCGGACCAAGGAGGGCGTGTTGCCTCTCGCCACTATATACCTAGCGACGATCGGCTCAACCCTCCAGGACTCCTTCATCCCCGCATACGGCGCTCGACTGCGCAGGTCCTAGCGCAGGTGGGTGTGTTAGTCCACCGGATACACCCACTCTCTCCGGCGGAACCGTCCCCTCCTCCTTTCTCATCCGGGCTTGGGACCGGCAATGGCGGAGTTAACGGAGTTATACTGCACAAACGAGTGGGAGGGTTTCTCGATATTCCCTCAATTTCAACTAGTCACTAGATCCAACCGGCATTTTATAGATGCGCCTACAAATTATTTATTTTAGTTATAAATTCGACAAAGTAATCATATTAACCATATGCTCTGTGTCCTTTAGGCACTTTTGCCAGCGGCGTGCCTTCTACAGTTGCAAGAAATTCAAGATGTTTGTTGCGAGTTCCTCAAGAGGCAACTCGATTGTTCTAATTGCCTTGGAATACGAGCCTTCGCCGATACACACTCTTGCCGAGAACTTCTTCGCATAGCTGATAAGTTCACACAACAGAATTTTCCTGAGGTTTGTATTAAACGGGTTTGGTTTTAATTTTAAACATGAGTCTTTTATATGGCTTCATTCACTGAGATGTTACTGTCATGTGGCCTGTTGAAGGGCTTTTACACTTATTTGATATATTGTAAAAAGTACTTCGCGTTTTTGTGTAACTTAAACTCAACACTTTACTTTGATATCATGTTCGTTTGCATTGAAACAATCAAGTGTGTACACATATAAATATTTTTATCAATTTCTATGAAGTTATTACCTTGTATAATATATTTACATAGTTAAAATATTTCAATTGCAGCTTAAAGAACAATTTCTCATTAAGACAGATGTTACTTGTACAAGAGTAAAAAAGTTTAGTTTAGTTTACGACGAGTTATTTTTCGTAACTCTACGTCAGCGGGTATTTTGTGTGTGAGCAGGAATATTATGATTAATCGACATGTAGCATTTTTCTTCTCAAGTAAATTCGGAGTGAAATTCATCAGACGACGGGAGTCACAGAATGGCGTCTTACGGCTCAGCCAGTGAATAGAACAAATTATGATAAAACACCTTTACTATATAATGGATAAATATGTGATAAAAGACCTGATGCTATTAATATGATCAATATATATATGCTACATATTATTTGTTATATCTTCAGGTGATGGAAAGTGAAGAGTTCCTTCTTTTACCCGCTGCGCAGTTGATTGATATAGTGTCTTCCGACGAATTGAATGTGAGATCAGAGGAGCAAACATTCCAGGCCGTCATGTCCTGGGTCAAATATAACGTGGCCGAAAGGCGGCAGCATTTGGCGCAAGTAATTTGTTTTGAGATATTTTTTCCTAATTAGGACTTAAATTTTTGGAAAATAAGTAAACGAGTCTTTTAATTAATTATAAATTTTACACGTGGTAGAACTATATTATAGCTGTAGCACGAATGGGTCGGCTTGACCGCGAAAGGACCACGCTCTTACAGAATACCAGCGTGAAATAGCAGCTCAATGCTGCTTAGTTTTGTATGGTGAGTGTAGAGAATCTTATTTCCATTTTACTGGTTACAAGGCATTCCATTTAAATCCTCAGGGGTGACAACGAATCTGCATTTTGATTTTTAATGGAAGATAAATGTAGATTTCTATGGGCTACATTATTAATTTACCATCAGATGGACTGTGCTCGTTTGTCACTCTTATTCTATAAAAAATAAATAAAGCGACAGTAGTGTAATGGTAGGGTGCGGACTGCGAACTTAAAAGGGAGTATGTTCGAATCCGCCATTCGATTACTTCATTCAACCACTTAAGCTTAAAATGCTTCCCAGGTGTGGTTAAAGGGAATATTAGTGATTTTAATTCTTTGACTAGAGAAGAAAGAAAGGACATGACATAAAGATCGGTAGTTGTAGGAATGTAATGAAATATCGGCGTCTCTTTTTAGCTTATGAGTACATTCGTATGTAAAAAAGGACAACAGTAGTTTTATCATTACCGAATATGACAACAATTTTTTCGCTGCGGTCGGGCGCCATGTTTTGTCACTGTCAATATGACAACTATATCAGTTGTCATTGCGACTTTAGTGAGGTGAGTGTGTTATTTTCATATGTTTCTCTCGTGGAATTCGATTATTACGAAATTTCTTATTCTATTCCTCGGGACCTGTAAATCGGGATAAAAAGTATCCTACATGTTAATTCAGGTAATAAACTATTTGTGTGCCAAATTATTGCATTCAAACTGGTCTGATACTTTTGGCGTGATTGAGGAACAAACAAACATTCAAACATTTGAATTTATTATAGTTTGATTAGTGTGAGTGTGATGACTGAGCCTAGTTTATTGTCTAACAAGCAAACAAAAATTCTTTAATTAGTATTTCTTGTTAGTTATTCCCGGGAAATAATTGTAACATTAATAATAGATAGTTACATTATAAAAACAAAAAAAGAACGACTGCCTAAAAATAATGAACTGAAAACATGGTATAACTTATAATATATTTCAGTAATCTCCTTTTAAATTCCTTCATTTTGATACCCCTATCGATAGGTTGAGTAAAAAAAAAATTAAGAAAGAAAAATCCATCATATTGATTAAAAAAATCTATCTAAGAACACACGGGTGTTTGAGACGAATCATACGAAAGAATCTTTTTCTAAATTATCGCCATATTTTCGATATTAAGTATAGTGCTCAGCACTACGTCAAGCCGCCATCTTTGTGCCAGACTCAATTTAGGTATACACGTTTTTTTCGTAGGTATATCATGTCCTTTCTTTTTTCTCTAGTCAAAGTTTTAATTACATTATTTTTATTTAAAAAAAAAGATCAGAATAAGCAGTAAGTTTAATTTTTCTCTGTTGGCTCTTACCCCGTGCGACCGTGAAGATGCGACCGGGGGAATTGAAACAGGAGATGGGTGGAATGGATGGAAATACTAAAATGAATGAAGAGGGCTATGCTCGGGGTTTCTCTGCGTGATAAACTTAAAAATGAGGATATCCGCACTAGAACCAGTGTGACCGACATAGCCCAACGTATTAATAAGCTGTGGCAATTGGCTGGGCATATAGCTTGAAGAACCGACAACCGATGGGGAAAAAAGGTTCTCGCGTGGCAACCTCGTGCTGGTAGGCGAAGTGTAGGGGAACTAGATGGAGTCACGAACTGGAAGTTGATGGATGCAGGTGGCTCAAAACCGTGCTTTGTGGCATTCCTTGGGGGCCTGTGTGCAGCAGTGGACTTGTGAAGGGCTCTAATGATGATGATGATGACTAAAAGTAATGTCTGTTACTCCACTGTCAATCCATTTATTCACTATAATCTATTAAAGTCCATTGCTGAACCTAGGCCTCCCCCATAGATTGGGTCTGTGGGACCGATGTAGCCATGGTCTAAGTGAAGCGAGTTACGCCACAGGTCCTATAATCTAGTTGTTATTTCAAAGTTAATGCTATCCATCTTCTGGTTTGTTTCCATTTGTCACCTCTTACGGTACCCATGGCATGGTATGGGGCAGTGGATGTTCTTACACCATCAATCTTCTGTCAACAACTTGCCTTAAAGACATTTGCTAGGAAGAGAATGTTACTTTGGCAAAAAGTCCCGTAGTGTTACTTTCAAACTTTTCACATAACAGAAGTTTTTCTCGGAACTAGTGGTGAAAGTGTAAAAATTACTCTTAATAATTATTATTTTTAGTCTATATTAAGTATAAAAAACATTATTTTCTATGTAATTGAAATAAGAGTGATAAACGAGCACACAGTCCAACCGATGTCAAGTGGATTCTTAAACTAGGATAGATGTTTGTGCCACACCTGTACCACCACCACCACTGTGTAAATGTGAATGTAGAATACACCATATGAAGAATAGTAGTATTATTGTCCTATTTCACACTGGTAGTTTTTGAGAGTGTGGTCTGTGCTTGACCTTGGTTAATCACATAAGTCGCCAATAACAATAATACAAATAAATCCGTAATACTTGACTAGGGTAAAAGTTCAGCCTATATACATCCCACTCCTGGGCACAGGCCGCCGCTCATTTTAGAGTTTTAGGGCAATGAATTGACCGCCGCGCTGTCCCAATGCGTGTGGGCGAACTTCACATGTCTTTGAAATATTTATTTTCTTATTTCTCAGACATGCAGATTTCCTCACGATATTTTCCTTCACCACCGAGCACATGGTAAATCAGCACTTATAATGGCAATTAACAATTTCATTAGTGCCGGCGGGGATCGAAGCCAATTTGCTCGCGTACTGTGTAAATTTATAGCGAGCGGTAACCATCTGAGCTACCACAGCTGGATTAGGGTAAAGCTAATTCATGTTGCAGTCAAAATACACCTACAGCATGGTTCTATTACATAGGAGTTATATGGTTATAACAGATATAGTATTTCTGAATAAATACTATGCATCGGCTAACTTCGTATTTCCGAATATGACCGACTGCATCTGGATGGTATGTAATTTAGAGCTACACTTATTAAATTATTATTACGAGATTGTCAGTATTTTGTGATATTTATAACTTAAATACAATTCTAGGGTCGTACTGTGGAACTCAATATATAAAATTAAAAATAAGTTTAAATCTCACCTTGAAGCATAAAAATCTTATTTTAAAAAACAAAACACGATGGCGATACAGTTTTGTTGATTCTGCAAAACGGTTCAATCCTAGTTGTAACTGACTCATATGCTGCGCTGCTCGCACGGCTTGTAACTAATTGATACATTTATTGCTTTGTGATAAAGAAATTTAAATTATGAGTGTTTTTAGGAACAGTTTTTGTCAATCGTTTTGTAATGTACAATAAGATTGTTTCTAATGTTTGCCGATGTAACCTATTTATTCTAAATTACTATATTTCTATCTTAAGTGTCTTTTAAAGTCCACTGCAGGATATGGGCTTCTTCCATATCATCAAGTACCCAACGTCTAGTAACTCTTTTTATCATAGAGTCAAATATATAGTTAAAATATTTCTCGAAAAGTAAGAAGAATCACACCCGTACGCCCCCCCCCTTCAGCCCGCGCCATGAGCTTTCCGCGGCGCCCCCCGCGCACCCCAAGAAACTTTAAGCTATATGTAAAAATAAAATTTCTAATAATAATATCAATCACCTTAATTCCTCGTGATCGAAACGTCGGGTATTAAAAATGAGTAAAATTAAACGCAATTTAATCTGTAAAAGTCGCACAGAATGTCATAGCCGCTGTGTATCATATGGCGAGTGTACGGAATTGGAGATCCTTTTTGCAGAAAATGAGGCATGCAATCTTAGTACTCAGGGGTGACAACACATTTTGATTATTGATCGAAGATAAATGTGGATGTCTATAAGCCATCACATCCACTTACCATCAGATGGACTGTGTGCTTGTGAGTCACCCTCATGCAGTAAAAAAAATGTTTTATTCAAATTGCAGTGTTGGCGTAAATATAGGAAATCATTGTATTATATTATATATTTGGTGCATGTGTGTGCAGGTGCTGCAGCACGTGCGGCTGCCGCTGTTGAGCCCCAAGTTCCTGGTGGGCACGGTGTCGTCGGAGCTGCTGGTGCGCTCGGACGACGCGTGCCGCGACCTGCTGGACGAGGCCAAGAACTACCTGCTGCTGCCGCAGGAGCGTCCGCTCATGCAGGGCCCACGCACGCGCCCGCGCAAGCCCAGCCGCAGAGGTACTCTCCCCATCTTGCTCACTCCACCGAGTGCGAGCTCTCCCTCTTGCTAATTCTCGCAGCAGCAACAACAACTGCTGCTGCTGCAAGAACACCCGTTCATACAGGGCCCACGCGCGTGTCCGCGCAAGCCTAGCCGCATCGGTACTCCCCTCTTCTCGCTCACTCCACCAAGCGTGAGCTCTCCATCTCGCTCACTCTCGCTGCAGCAACAACTAACTGTAGGGACTGTGCAAGCCCATCTGTGGAGGTACCCTCCTCCTCTCCCGTTGCCGCGGGAGCGCCCCCTCATATAGTACTCATCTCCTGCGACCGATCTCCTCTTCTCCTTATTACTTCTACCTGATGATAAGTTGCTACTGCATCCCAGTGGGGCAGTAGAGGTGCACTAGTGCTGGTAATCCTGTCCTCCGCAGAGAGTCTTCGTTGAGTCAGGCTGCCGTGACCGACATTTGGTAGGAAAGTCATTAATGAATGCGACGTGCGCAGGCGAGGTGCTGTTCGCGGTGGGCGGGTGGTGCTCGGGCGACGCCATCGCGTCGGTGGAGCGCTTCGACCCGCAGAGCGGCGAGTGGAAGATGGTGGCGCCCATGTCCAAGCGGCGCTGCGGCGTGGGCGTGGCCGTGCTGCACGACCTGCTGTACGCGGTGGGCGGCCACGACGGCCAGAGCTACCTCAACAGCATCGAGCGCTACGACCCACAGACCAACCAGGTTGGTACTTTTTTGCGCTGTATATTCCGTTCACATGCATGATACGATCGATTGAGTCAGAAAAAAATAATTGTAGGAGCATTTTTTATTCGATTTTTTTTTCATAATGGATTTGTAAGGAACTTTCTTTAAAATATAAATACACCGATACATACGTACGATACATATGTATGTATGTATTTAGTTGCATACAAAATATTCACTTATACAGGACTTTATCTACACGGCACAATATAACCACATTGCACGTAGCAACAGCCGGGCGATAAAAGCGTCGCCCTGGAGTATCGTTAGCCCAGCTGCCAGGAGTATTGCTGCGGCCTTTCACCACGTTCACTAGTCAACCTACGGATACGATGCGGAACGCATATGCTTGCTGTCGCTGTTCCTTTATTCGCGCTAAGACTTTTCTCGGTGTGAATTATGTATATTTAAATGTGCTTTTCCGAACTACCTCCTTCTAATTCGACTACTGCTGTAACTGCATTCTGTTTCTTAACTCTTTTTTTCTTGGTTAGTGTATCATTTGCTTGTTTGTGCTATATTATGTTAAACTGTTAGTGTTATGAACCTATTTATTTAAACCAAATATTTCGCTAAAGATTAACATCTTCAAGATCGCGCTACTTCTGAACGACTTGATGTATTGAGGTCCTCGACTCCGGTTTTCTACGTTCACCATACGAAACATTGGTATTCGGTAAGAGCGTGGTCCTTCCCCGGCCGAGCCAACCCATTCGTGCTATAACCATAATATAGCTGCAGCATGGCTCTACCACATATAAAAATGTTGTAATTATTAATTCCACACATTCCACAAATTCCACACAAAAAGTTTTTTTTGTGTAATTATCCAGGTTAACACAGTATCTATAATGCATAAAAATATATATAAATATATATATATATATGATATAAGAAAGAAAGATACGATATATGAAAGTGGACGTTACGATACTGTAACGCATTAGTACATATACAAGGTGTTAGTGTAAACACCCTTATCCTTGAAACCAGTGGTTTAGTTTCACTTATAGAATGTAAATTCAATGAAAAATAACATTTTTTTAGTGAAATCTCAATTTTTATATAACAGCTGAAAGAAGAGTTGTTTATATGAGAATGTTACTTTTAAATGAGATGATAGGGGTTGAAGTTATTTTTACTTTTAAAAAGCAAGTTATTTTATTATATTGACATTGCTGATTATCATCTCACCACTCTTAACAACTTCATTATTGAATACAAGCTCTCAAGTAATGCAAGACACAGAGCAAGGTCCTGAGTTTTTTGAACAGTCACTCCATCTAGTCATATCTGTTCTATATTCCGCTTGCCGGTTTTAAAAATAAAACCAAATTGACTTTAACCGGCATTAGTTGCAGTGAAGCCCGTACTAATGATGTGTTTCGCGGCTTGTGCCAGTGGTGCGGCGCGGTGGCGCCCACGTCGTCGTGCCGCACGTCGGTGGGCGTGGCCGTGCTGGACGGCGCGCTGTACGCCGTGGGCGGGCAGGACGGCGTGCAGTGCCTCAACCACGTCGAGCGGTACGACCCCAAGGACAATCGCTGGACCAAGGTACGTGCCCGTGCTGGACGGCGCGCTGTACGCCGTGGGCGGGCAGGACGGCGTGCAGTGCCTCAACCACGTCGAGCGGTACGACCCCAAGGACAACCGCTGGACCAAGGTACGTGCCCGTGCTGGACGGCGCGCTGTACGCAGTGGGCGGGCAGGACGGCGTGCAGTGCCTCAACCACGTCGAGCGGTACGACCCCAAGGACAACCGCTGGACCAAGGTACGTGGCCGTGCTGGACGGCGCGCTGTACGCCGTGGGCGGGCAGGACGGCGTGCAGTGCCTCAACCACGTCGAGCGGTACGACCCCAAGGACAACCGCTGGACCAAGGTACGTGGCCGTGCTGGACGGCGCGCTGTACGCAGTGGGCGGGCAGGACGGCGTGCAGTGCCTCAACCGCGTCGAGCGGTACGACCCCAAGGACAACCGCTGGACCAAGGTACGTGCCCGTGCTGGACGGCGCGCTGTACGCCGTGGGCGGGCAGGACGGCGTGCAGTGCCTCAACCACGTCGAGCGGTACGACCCCAAGGAGAACCGCTGGACCAAGGTACGTGCCCGTGCTGGACGGCGCGCTGTACGCCGTGGGCGGGCAGGACGGCGTGCAGTGCCTCAACCACGTCGAGCGGTACGACCCCAAGGACAACCGCTGGACCAAGGTACGTGCCCGTGCTGGACGGCGCGCTGTACGCCGTGGGCGGGCAGGACGGCGTGCAGTGCCACAACCACGTCGAGCGGTACGACCCCAAGGACAACCGCTGGACCAAGGTACGTGCCCGTGCTGGACGGCGCGCTGTACGCCGTGGGCGGGCAGGACGGCGTGCAGTGCCTCAACCACGTCGAGCGGTACGACCCCAAGGACAACCGCTGGACCAAGGTACGTGCCCGTGCTGGACGGCGCGCTGTACGCCGTGGGCGGGCAGGACGGCGTGCAGTGCCTCAACCACGTCGAGCGGTACGACCCCAAGGAGAACCGCTGGACCAAGGTACGTGGCCGTGCTGGACGGCGCGCTGTACGCCGTGGGCGGGCAGGACGGCGTGCAGTGCCTCAACCACGTCGAGCGGTACGACCCCAAGGACAATCGCTGGACCAAGGTACGTGCCCGTGCTGGACGGCGCGCTGTACGCCGTGGGCGGGCAGGACGGCGTGCAGTGCCTCAACCACGTCGAGCGGTACGACCCCAAGGACAATCGCTGGACCAAGGTACGTGCCCGTGCTGGACGGCGCGCTGTACGCCGTGGGCGGGCAGGACGGCGTGCAGTGCCTCAACCACGTCGAGCGGTACGACCCCAAGGACAATCGCTGGACCAAGGTACGTGCCCGTGCTGGACGGCGCGCTGTACGCCGTGGGCGGGCAGGACGGCGTGCAGTGCCTCAACCACGTCGAGCGGTACGACCCCAAGGACAATCGCTGGACCAAGGTACGTGCCCGTGCTGGACGGCGCGCTGTACGCCGTGGGCGGGCAGGACGGCGTGCAGTGCCTCAACCACGTCGAGCGGTACGACCCCAAGGACAATCGCTGGACCAAGGTACGTGCCCGTGCTGGACGGCGCGCTGTACGCCGTGGGCGGGCAGGACGGCGTGCAGTGCCTCAACCACGTCGAGCGGTACGACCCCAAGGACAATCGCTGGACCAAGGTACGTGCCCGTGCTGGACGGCGCGCTGTACGCCGTGGGCGGGCAGGACGGCGTGCAGTGCCTCAACCACGTCGAGCGGTACGACCCCAAGGACAATCGCTGGACCAAGGTACGTGCCCGTGCTGGACGGCGCGCTGTACGCCGTGGGCGGGCAGGACGGCGTGCAGTGCCTCAACCACGTCGAGCGGTACGACCCCAAGGACAATCGCTGGACCAAGGTACGTGCCCGTGCTGGACGGCGCGCTGTACGCCGTGGGCGGGCAGGACGGCGTGCAGTGCCTCAACCACGTCGAGCGGTACGACCCCAAGGACAATCGCTGGACCAAGGTACGTGCCCGTGCTGGACGGCGCGCTGTACGCCGTGGGCGGGCAGGACGGCGTGCAGTGCCTCAACCACGTCGAGCGGTACGACCCCAAGGAGAACCGCTGGACCAAGGTACGTGCCCGTGCTGGACGGCGCGCTGTACGCCGTGGGCGGGCAGGACGGCGTGCAGTGCCTCAACCACGTCGAGCGGTACGACCCCAAGGACAATCGCTGGACCAAGGTACGTGCCCGTGCTGGACGGCGCGCTGTACGCCGTGGGCGGGCAGGACGGCGTGCAGTGCCTCAACCACGTCGAGCGGTACGACCCCAAGGACAACCGCTGGACCAAGGTACGTGCCCGTGCTGGACGGCGCGCTGTACGCCGTGGGCGGGCAGGACGGCGTGCAGTGCCTCAACCACGTCGAGCGGTACGACCCCCAAGGACAACCGCTGGACCAAGGTACGTGCCCGTGCTGGACGGCGCGCTGTACGCCGTGGGCGGGCAGGACGGCGTGCAGTGCCTCAACCACGTCGAGCGGTACGACCCCAAGGACAATCGCTGGACCAAGGTACGTGCCCGTGCTGGACGGCGCGCTGTACGCCGTGGGCGGGCAGGACGGCGTGCAGTGCCTCAACCACGTCGAGCGGTACGACCCCAAGGAGAACCGCTGGACCAAGGTACGTGCCCGTGCTGGACGGCGCGCTGTACGCCGTGGGCGGGCAGGACGGCGTGCAGTGCCTCTGTAGTAGTAGTAGTAAGAGTATATAAAAGTACACACACAAGTGTAATAATAATCCTATATAATCAAATTTATTAATACAATAAAGAGAGTCTTATATCATCATTCGTTTGTTTAACTCCTCTCCTAACATTCGCCCTACATGGCGACCCTGCCGAAGTAATTCGCGACGCGAATATGACACCCTCCGCCGTATTTGGAGTGGAACATTTTTTCTGTGTGCAACTGATGAACTAAATCAAGCGATGGCGTTCTGTATATGCGACTGTGTACACGTGTTTAACAAAAAGTTAACGAAAAATAACATCCAAGATGTGCGGTAAACAGACTAAAGAAGAGGCCGTAATTGTGCAAAACGCCGTGGGAAGCAATAAGGCAGGAGTTGAACAATTGCAATTTCACCTGACTACGAGTAATATTTTACTGTCAATCATTGTGCTAGTACTTCTACTGGGGTCCCTATATTGCTTGTATCGGACATATAGGCGATGTCATATAAAGTGGATTAACACGGAGATAAACAGAAATACCCTAAAAATGTCTATTTTTCGGCAACCACAAACCTCCACAAATGTGGAAGAGGCAAGTCAACCAAGGGCGTATTATAAAGTATGACCGGCGCTGATCGAAGTTTAAAAGTGGCGTTTACGTGCATATAAAATGAGTAAAAAGTGCGTGTCTATTAATAGTGCAAAAAAGGGTATTGTGTTTATAAATCAACTACATTAATCTGGGACTCTCGGCTCTATTACTGAACTATATATTTTAAATTAAATCATGTATTCGTTGTACTGTCTTTAATCGTCATTTAACCGTATTATTATTATATTAAATATTTCGTAAAATTATTTATAGTATACTCTATTCTACGTATTGGTGGTAAGTTATGAATATTTCTTTAGAACAGTTATATGAGAAATTAAAAGAAGTGAGAACATATTTAATTAAAATTGGACCGAGTAGACGTGAAGGAAAAATTTTAGATATTAAACTTAAAGAGGCCAATGAAATATTCAGTGACTATTCTAAGTTGTTAATAAATTTTAATAATAAAGTAAAGGAAGGTAAGATTAAATCTACTGATATTCCATCTTATCAAACCTATTGTAAGAATTTTGAATCATTATATACGGATATTATAAAATTGTGTAAGCCCGAGTGTGTACAATCTGAAAATCCGAGCAATATGGATACTTTCGATTTGAAAACGGCTTTGACTTTATTACCTGTTATGTCAGATGACGAAACAAGTGTGAAACAATTAGTAGACAATATTCAGTATTATAATTCTTTGTTAACAAAACAGGAATGCAAAAAGAATTTAATTAAATTCATATTAAAAAGTAGATTATCTCAATCTGCTAAATTACGTCTTCAAGACGATTACTCTAATGTTAAAGACTTGGTTAGTGACATGCAGAAAGAGTCGTTGCCAAGAAAAGGAGCAGCAGCAATTCAAAATAAATTGCAAAAATTACGCCAAAATGATATGTCAATTGCTGATTATGGAAAACAAATAACAGAGTTATTTGTGGACCTTACGATATCGCAAGCCAACGGTAATACCGAATATTACAATATTTTGAAAACTGTTCATGAAAAACAAGCGATCAAGCAAATTTTCAGATGGCTTACGAAATCGTCGAATCAGCACAATAATTTCTGCTAGAAATTACAGCTCTCTGAAAGATGCCATTCAAGCAGCTCAAGATGAAGAGACTTCATCATCATCGGCCGCAGGAGAGGTGATGGGTATGTCCAGTAAGAAATTTTATTATCCTAGGAATTTTCATCATAATTCTAGGTACCCACGCGGCAACGGGCGTAATCGGCAAATGTTTTCACAGCGAGGACACTACCATGGAAACTCGCAGCGATCGAGTTCATGGAACCACTCGAACTCACGTGGCCAAGGAAAGCGAGGACGATATAATCGAGGTACGTTTCGTAATTATCGCGGAAATCAAGGGATAAAAAGAAATATAATCAATATAGTTAATGAAAACCAGGAATCAACTTCAAATGAACCCCGACTAGATAAGTTTTTTCGAGAATAAACAAAATCATTTAATTTTGGCTAGTAGTAATAGCAATTGTTTTATTCATTTACCAGTTTCATCATGCAATAAAACTTATTCTTTCTTAGTCGAGACGGGCGCATCTTTATCCGCCGTAACATATAAACATGCTATCGAATTAAGTGTTTCATTACATAAAGACAATGTAATTATAAACGGTCTAGGTGGCGAGGTGCACACAATCGGATATGTTTATGTTCCATTAAGATTCATAGATCTGTTATTAATCACAAGTTCTTTGTTTTTAATTCGTTACCAATTTCGTCGCATGGAATTCTAGGTAGAGAATTTTTGAATAGATTTGGAGCATGTTTAGATTTCGAGAAAAATATTTTATCTTTGAAGTTAGGGTCAGGCCACACTTGTTTCTTGCCTTTCACAATAATAATTATAATATTAACGTATTGGAAATTCCCCCAAGAAGTGAATCCATACATTATATTCAAACTACCGATTGCATTATTTGTTCACAAGAATTACAAGATGGCGTTTATTTGGCTAGCTCGATAGCGACACCAATTAGGGAAAAAATACCAATAAAAATATTAAATGTTACCGAAAAATCAGTAACATTGTCAGGAATAAATCCTGCAATTCATGATCTTAACGATTATAATATTTTTAGTTTTGAGAAAAAATGGGAATAATTCAGACCGAGTAAAACGATTATTTTCCTCATTAAAATTAAATGATTTAAATGACTTAGAAATTCAAAATATTAGTGCAAAATATGCAGACATTTTTTATTTAGAGGGCGATAAATTGACAACAACAGATATTTTACACTCACAATATTTTTTTTTAAACCAAACGTTAGTCCAGTGTTTTCAAAACTCTATAGGTTACCAATTAGCCAGAAAAAGGAAATTAATCGTCAAATTAGCAACATGCTTAAAGAAGGGATTATAGAACCTAGTAAAAGTGACTGGTCTAGCCCAATATTATTGGTGCCTAAAAAATTAGATAAATCGGGTAATAAAAAATGGCGATTGGTAGTGGATTACCGTAAATTAAATAACTGTATAGAGGACGATATGTACCCCCTCCCTGATATTACAGAAATCTTAGAATCTTTGTCTGGAAGTGTATATTTTACACATTTAGATTTATATCAAGGGTATTACAATGTTAATTTAGATAAAAGTTGTCGAAAATTTACTGCTTTCAATTCTGGTCAATACCAGATGACGAGAATGCCCATGGGATTAAGAACAAGTCCTAGTTCTTTCTCGCGAATGATGAATTTAGCAATGTCAGGACTAAATAATGAAAAATGCTTAATTTATTTAGATGACGTCATTGTTTTTGGTAGACAACTAGACCACCACAATAAAAACTTACAGGATGTTTTTGAAAGACTTCGTTCAGTAAATATAAAATTAAATCCTTCAAAACCTCGTACATTTCTTAAAAACAGATTTTATATTTGGGACATTGTATATCTAACGAAGGGATTTTACCTGATCCTGAAAAAATAAATACAGTAAAAAACTATCCTTGTCCGCAGAATGCCGACGAAGTTAAAAGATTTGTGGCGTTCACAAATCATTATAGAAAGTTTATACCCAAGTTTGCTCAATTTGCGCAACCATTAAACCAACTTTGTAGAAAAAATACTAATTTCGTTTGGACTGAAATATGTCAAAAGTCTTTTGAAACACTCAAAAAACGTATTATGTTCCCCCCAGTTTTAGATTACCCTGATTTTTCAAAAGAAAATTATTTCATTTTACAAACCGATGCATCTAATAAAGCAATTGGAGCAGTTCTGTCGAATAAAAATGGAAGACCAATAGCATTTACTAGCAGATCTCTGAATAAGGCTGAATCAAACTATCCAGTTATAGAAAAAGAGTTGTTAGCGATAGTATGGGCCGTCAAACATTTCAGACCGTATCTGTATGGGCAATATTTTAAAATCAGGACTGACCATAAACCTCTAGTATACCTATTTGGCATGAAAGATCCATCGAGCAGGCTTATGAAGTTTCGTTTGGTATTAGAGGAATATAATTTTGACGTAGAGTATGTAAAGGGTTCAGATAATGCAGCTGCAGATGCGTTATCTAGAATCTGTTTGAGTTCGAAAGAGTTAAAAGAATTAAATGAGAACATCGTTAATGTCATGACACGAGCAAAATCGCGAAAAATAAATAAACCAGGATCCTCCTCGTTGGACATGATACCCACAGACTTGAGGCCTGATCAACCGAAAGTCGTAAGTAATCATGTCAAACCAGCAGAATTAGTGGAGGGTTGCGTGTTGGTTAATAAAGATGATTTGAAAACATTGAGAAAATTAAGAGTTATTAGTAAAGAAAATAATACATTTTGTTATGTTGAAAAGGAAAAGATAATTTATATTAAATATCTAAGTTCCGACTCACGAATGACGCGACGCGAGTTTGTGAAGGAATTAGATGATTTTTTAAGATAATAAATGTTAATTAAGTATGTATAATAAAGAAGGATGGAAATAAGGAATTTATTAAAAAAACTAGTTGAAGAAGTCAAATCTATGAATGATAGGACCGGTCCACGTGTACATATAATAAATAATGTAAAAACGATATATAATAAGGATGACAGAAAGGTGATATTAAATGACTTCCATCTCCTACCTAGCAGTGGTCATGCAGGTATGATAAGGATGGTCAACAATATAAAAAAGTATTATTATTGGCCTGGGTTAGATAAGGATGTAAAGAACTTTGTTAGGCATTGTGACAAATGTCAGCGTCAGAAATTTTCGTTACCCGTAAGAGAGCCATTAGAAATAACAACGACAGCTAACACAGCGTTTGAAAAGATATATTTAGACCTAGTAGGTCCATTTGAAGTTGATAATAATAATTACTCT